TCACGGATCCAGAATCATCAAAGCATCATTCAAAACAAAGAAGGAGGGGATCTTAATGAATATTATCCAATGTTATGCACCCACCAATGATAGCAACGACGACATTAAAGATCAGTTCTACGAGCGGCTGCAGTCAATCATTGAGAAATGCCAAGAAAGGACCTAACTATTCTGATGGGAGATCTAAATGCCAAAGTCGGAATAGACAACACCGGATATGAAGATATTATGGGACGACATGGACTGGGAGAGAAACGAAAATGGAGAAAGATTTGCAAATCTATGTGCATTCAACAAATTGGTCATAGGAGGCACAATATTTCCACACAAGCGTATACACAAGGCTACATGGATCTCACCGGACCACACTACAGAGAACCAAATAGATCATATTTGCATCAACAAAAAATTCCGAAGGACAATGGAAGATGTGAGAACCAGGAGAGGTGCTGACGTAGCTTCAGATCACCACCTAGTTGTAGCCAATTTAAAACTGAAGCTAAAAAAGAACTGGACAAGTGGACAAACAGCACTACAAAGGTTCAATACAGCCTTCCTTCGAGATACTGACAAACTCAATGAATTCAAGATAGCTCTCAACAACAGGTTCCAAGCCTTACAAGATCTACTGAAAGAAGAAGAAACTAGTATGGAGGACAACTGGAAAGGCATCAAGGAAGCATTAACTTCAACGTGTCAAGAGGTTCTGGGCCTAAAGAAACACCATCATAAGGAATGGATCTCTATAGAAACACTGGACAAGATCAAAGAAAGGAAGAACAAGAAGGCAGCAATTAACAACAGCCGAACACGAGCAGAGAAAGTCCAAGCACAAGCTGAATACATAGAAGCAAACAAACAAGTGAAGAGGAGCATTAGAGCCGACAAGAAGAAATACGTGGAAGAACTAGCAACGACGGCAGAAAAAGCTGCTAGAGAAGGAAATATGAAACAGCTTCACGATACAACGAAGAAACTAGCAGGGAAATACAGTAAACCAGAGAGGCCGGTCAAAGACAAAGAAGGCAAGCCAATCACCGAAATTCAACAACAGCGTAACAGATGGGTAGAATACTTCGAGGAACTCCTGAATAGGCCGGCTCCAATGAATCCACCGGACATCGAAGCAGCACACATAGATCTTCCTATAGATGTCAACCCACCAACGACGGAAGAAATTAGAATGGCCGTCAGACAAATCAAGAACGGGAAAGCAGCAGGACCCGACAACATACCAGCTGAAGCACTGAAATCAGACATCGAAGCAACCACAAGCATGCTCACCTTCTATTCAAAAAGATTTGGGAGGAGGAACAAGTGCCGATGGACTGGAAAGAAGGACACCTCGTCAAGATTCCAAAGAAAGGAGATCTGAGCAAATGTGAAAACTACAGAGGCATTACACTACTGTCAATACCAGGGAAAGTCTTCAACAGAGTGTTGCTGAACCGGATGAAGGATGCAGTAGACGCCCAACTTCGAGATCAACAAGCTGGATTCCGTAAGGATCGGTCGTGCACAGACCAAATTGCAACACTACGGATCATCGTCGAACAATCAGTTGAGTGGAACTCATCACTATACATCAACTTCATTGATTATGAAAAGGCATTCGACAGTGTAGATAGGAGGACATTATGGAAACTTCTTCGACACTACGGAGTTCCTGAGAAGATTGTCAACATTATCCGGAACTCATACGACGGACTACAGTGCAAAGTAGTGCATGGAGGACAGCTGACAGATGCATTCCAAGTAAGGACTGGAGTCAGACAAGGCTGTTTACTCTCTCCCTTCCTCTTTCTTCTGGTGGTCGACTGGATTATGAAGACCTCGACATCTGAAGGAAAACACGGAATACAATGGACAGCTCAGAATCAATTAGACGATTTGGACTTCGCAGATGACCTAGCCCTCCTATCACGTACACACGAACAGATGCAGATGAAGACAGCCAGTGTAGCAGCAGTCTCTGCATCAGTAGGCCTCAGCATACACAAAGGGAAAACCAAGGTCCTCAAATTCAACACGGAGAACAGCAATCCAATCACTCTTGATGGCGAAACTCTGGAAGATGTAGAGTCCTTCACATACCTGGGAAGCATCATCGATGAACAAGGAGGTTCAGATGCAGACGTAAAGGCGAGGATCGGCAAAGCAAGGGTCGCATTCCTACAATTGAAGAACATATGGAACTCAAAACAACTTTCAACCAATATCAAAGTGAGAATCTTCAATACGAACGTCAAGGCAGTTCTACTGTATGGAGCTGAAACTTGGAGAACTACAACAACCATCATCAAGAGAGTACAAGTATTTATAAATAGCAGTCTACGCAAGATACTCAACATCCATTGGCCGGATACCATCAGCAATAGCCTTCTGTGGGAGAGAACAAACCAACTTCCAGCTGAAGAGGAAATTAGGAAAAGACGATGGAAATGGATAGGACATACATTACGCAAATCGTCAAACTGCATCACGAGGCAAGCCCTAACTTGGAATCCTGAAGGAAGGCGGAGAAGAGGAAGGCTAGAGAACACATTACGTCGGGAAATGAAAGCAGATATGGAAAGGATGAATAACAACTAGAAGGAACTCAAAAGGATTGGACAGGACAGGGTTGGATGGCGAATGCTGGTGAGCGGCCTATGTTCCTTCACAAGGAGTAACAGGCGTAAGTAAGTAAGTACGGACACTAATTCGCCAACTGATTAAGTGCGGATTGCATGCCTTGGGCATTATCGCACAGTAAGACAATATCATCCGCATACTCAAGGTCGAGAAGTCTTTCTCCAGGCAACAGATCCACACCACCATTACTTACATCCATCAGAGCTGTTTCCAGAATGTCATCGATGGCAAAGCTGAAGAGGAATGGTGAGATTGAGCAACCCTGACTAACTACACTGCTCGAATGGAACAATAGAGAAAGGTGGTTTTATGCCCTCACTCTGCCTCAGGTGTTTTTATATAGGGCTTTAAGGATGTTAATAAACTTCTCAGGCACGCCCTTCTTCAATAGACAATCCCAGAGAACAGTCCTGTCCAACGAATCGAAGGCAGCCCTGATGTCAAGAAACACTACGATTGTTGGCCTTTGATAAATATGGCGGTGTTCTAACATTTTGCGGAGGGTGAAGATATGATCAATACATCCTCGACCAGAACGAAACCCAGCCTGCTCCTCGCGAGTCAATCTTTCTCGGGTTTTCAACAACCTACGAGGTATGACGGAAGCCAATAGCTTGGACGCAATCGGAAGTAGACTTATCCACCGATAGTTGTTACAGGAACGACGTGAACCCTTTTTAAAGATAGGGACAACTATCGACTCATTCCATGACGTTGGTACACTCTCTAGTTCCCAAACCTTTGTAAACAACGTCGTCAATTCCTTAACAAGAAAGTCATTACCATCTCAAAAAAGGGCCGGAGGTAAGTCATCTGGCCCTGTTGATTTGTAACGCCTCAAGAGTTGGAGTTCCTTGCGGACTTCCTCCTCGTTTGGTGGATCAGTCGTCACAGCCCATGAAGGGCAGGACAGTCTGACCGGTGTTGCCGGAGCAGCAGGCCAGTTGAACTGCCCTTCAAAAAATTCTGCCCATCGTCCAAGACGTCGATGGATGTTAGTGATTGGCATCCCGTCATCCTCGCAGATTGTTTCACTCACACCAGACTTCTTGCTGCCAGTGGCTCGGATGAGTTGGAAGAGCTTCCGGTAATTACCAGGTACAGCTGCTGCTTCCAGCTCATGGCCACGCTCTGACCACCATGTCTCTCGGTCTTTACGCAAGCTTTGCCCAATTTCATTACGTAACAGCCTTCGTTTGTGGTCAAACTCACGGTCAACCGAGTAGACCGTTGGGTTCGATGAGTTGTAAGGAGCCTGAAGAAACCCAAAGCACTGACCGCTGACGATGGAATGACAAAGTATCCAATATTGAAGCTATGTATGTGTTTTTAGGTATAAATTACGATTGATGAGGCTATGAATCCTCATAAACATTGCTAGTCAGGACGTATTGTGCATACTTTTGTGAAGTGTGACAACTTGCATCAATAGACATCCTTGTTAGAAATTAGACAGTTTGTGAATGATTGGGGCACAGAATACATATGCGTCACACTTCATCATTCCATTTATGTGAGGGCTTGAATACTGGCCGGGTGCCCAGATCGAAGTAGGTAGTTTCTTTAGGAGACCACTCCCTGAGCCTTTGACCTAAAGGTCTGATCCACAAGGCAGTGGGCAACGTCAGAAGATGCCGTCCCATGGTAGCCGGTGACCAACAACAGATTCATATGCCATTTGTTCACTCAGGATCTTAGAGCCCATGTGAACCATTGGTTTGAATCAAGGATTTCCGATTCCCCTTGGTGGATACGCCGTGCCCACTAACCCGGTTAAAGCGCCAGACATTCGCTTTTCGAGAAGGTTGTGAATAGGACTTCCTTGAAGGCGGTTGTATGCACATGGGAGAGAGAGAGAGAGAAGGAGAGCTTATTCTCTTCACTCTCAGCCATACCAGGGTATTATTACGAAATAAGTATCTAAAATATTGTTTCCAAAATGTGCGCAGAACCTCACCCCCTTAACTGTTGAGCTCGAAACAAGCTACATACGCACAAAAAGTGTAAGCCAGCAGTTTATGATATTCTGGTACAAAACTAAATGTAAGCTGATCAGATTCTCGAAATCCGGATTAAACCGAGCCAGTTCAAGACGGTTTATCAGCCAACTTTACGAACAAACTGATTTCTTTTTCTGGAAAAGCAAGATATTGTGATGATAATTTTGATATATCGTTTGCTTTGACAACAAATGATGTATAATAAACTACTTAGATATTGATACTACTCGTGCTTTAGTCATCATTTAAGGAATACAAAAATAAACTTCACGTTCAATACATGACTTAATGTCTGTATGAATTAGTATTGAATAGTGTAAAACTTAACAAAAATGATTCACTTAACAAGAAATTTAATTGGGAAGCAATCACAGAGAGAAAAACTACTCATTTACTGTACAAAATAGTATGGGTCTGAGTATAGTAATGGAGGCATATCTACATGAAATTTTCCTGATTTGATAAATACAAAGAATCACAAATTTTGACATTTTAAATTCAGTAGGTTATCTGTAATTGATGAAGAAGATTCCGGTTTATCAACCTGGATATCACCACGTTCTAGAGGAATTTTCTTATGAGTAGTGTTAGGTTTCACCGATTCGCAATTAGGAGTTGAACGTGCTGAATTCGGACGTCTAACAACACCCAAATCAGATGGAACACGCCGAGGAGTATTGACTTTAGGAAGAGGAGAACATGTCTGCCCACCAATACGAGCAGTGCCAGTTGAAGGTCGGCTGTTTGGTTCGTTATTTAAAATCGATGAGCTGGAAGCGAGTAAACGAAGAGCAGCAGGAGAGAGTAGCGACCGTGATGGACTACAAAATAAATGAAATTTGAAATCATTTAAAAGTCTGAATATTAGAATTTTGAAACTAATGTAAAACACTCAACATCCCAAGAGAATTAGAAACAGCATTTCAATGAATACAATGTTATTCAATCGACTGATACGGGTTTCTGACCGAGGGAAGTTTCCATCAGCATTGATTTAACCTGATTAACCAAGTCTGGCATATCAATGATTTCCTAATATAAAAAGATTTAAGTACACTGCAATTGGACAATAATACATTAAACTGATAAATATAAATAAGGTTACACTGATTTAGCCATAATACAAATAAAGATTTATGAATTACTGATATGTTTAGATGAGAAAATAGAGCAAAACTAAAATTCGTGCATCGAATGCAAAACATAAATTTAATGAATGTGTTGAAATACTCCAACTACGTGGAGTGACACATGACAGTAGCATAAATAGTTTGTTTGAAAATCGTTACCACGACTGCATGACTGCATCTCGGTCTAGATGTATTTATTTAAGCATATAAACATTGGTACGAGAAGGCACCGAATACATATGCGTCACACTTCATCATTCCATTTATGTGAGGGCTTGAATACTGGCCGGGTGCCCAGATCGAAGTAGGTAGTTTCTTTAGGAGACCACTCCCTGAGCCTTTGACCTAAAGGTCTGATCCACAAGGCAGTGGGGCAACGTCAGAAGATGCAGTCCCATGGTAGCCGGTGACCAACAACAGATTCATATGCCATTTGTTCACTCAGGATCTTAGAGCCCATGTGAACCATTGGTTTGGAATCAAGGATTTCCGATTCCCCTTGGTGGATACGCCGTGCCCACTAACCCGGTTAAAGCGCCAGACATTCGCTTTTCGTCCCCTCAGTTTCGTAAACAACAGCCCCGACTCGAGAAGGTTGTGAATAGGACTTCCTTGACGGCGGTTGTATGCACGTGGCCCTGATTCCAAACCAATGGTGAACATGGGCTCCAGGATCCTGAGTGAACAAACGGCATATAAATCTATTGTTGATCACCACCTACCATAGGACTGTATCTTTTGACGTTACTTTACTGCCCTCACATAAATCAAGTGACTTGTGTAAGGCATATGTATTCGGTGCCATCTTGTACCAATTTTTATAATTTTAGATGAAATTTACAAACTTAAGTTTCTCAATCGAGATTGGACCTTACATTAACACCAAGTAATCAGCGGTTTCAGCAGACATGAATAATCCTTGGAAGAACTTACTACCAAATGACTGTTATCTACACCTCCCCTTTATAAATAATGGTCTTGACTTAATGATAAAGTAACACAAAGGGGACTTCTTCACAGTACATTTGTTGTTTGATAGGTAACATCATATCGCATATTCATCCTACAACTAGCTTATGTTGCAGTAAAATTTAAAGGAGGAATAAGATGAATTGGAACCTGAAATGCGTCATAAAAACTACCAGAGACAACATTCTTTTAGGTACGTATTTTCACCTTATGTACATATCTTATAGTATCAGTAATGCGTACATATACCAAGAATGGAAATCATGTTCACCTTTTCACATCTAATCTTCTTACTTGTATGTGTCTGAGTTAAATTTATTTGTGGGAGAACTTATTGCTAAAATGTACAGTAGTCAAACATTAGTAATTTTCAATTGTGAATACACTTACCTTGATGCTGCTGACTGCATTCTTTTAACTGCTTCCAAACGATCACGCACACGTTGACGACTTGCTTTATCTGCTAATTGGTGGGCAAGCTGTTCACGTTGAGAAGGAGATGGGATACGAAAGGCTGGACCACCAGATACGACTGATGGTGTTGTTTCGCTGTCATCTAGTCGGAACGGTGTCGAATCCAATTCACCCAAGTCATTAATGGTGTGTGAGGAAACATTGCCATTGGTGAAGGGGAAGAATCAAGAAATTTATACCCAGAAGCCTGAGGAGTTCCGTATGGTGAGTTCATTTCTAAACCATTAAGACCGACACGACCCTGTTTAAAATAAAACCAAATAAGTAAAAACTTCACGTGAATATTTCATATAACCAAACTAGATTCTGAATCAGAACTCAATAAACGGTTTATTCTTTTTCACATCAATAGAGACAAACGGTAATGTCCTTTCATTGATTAACTCTGAATTTGTTCTACAAGGTAAAAAAACGATATTTTTGACCAGTATTTTCAAGGAAAATTATGTCAGTAAAGTTCAGATAGGATGTTATTCTTTAGACTAAAAATGCGAACTAAGTAAAATCTACCTACTAATGCTCTCATCCAGATTGGAGTACGTTACGTGAAGACTGTGAAAATGTCCAGACTGTCAGTCAGTCAGTTACAACGTAGGACTAGGCACATATGAGCATCAGTCCAAGTTGCCATACCTCATTAACACAACAAGATGAACACCGGATTCATAGAAGGAGTGGTGATAATATATGAAAGAAAGATTGCATATAAGAACATAGTACATGAAGAATTATTTCGTAGAAAGAAAGATATGAAGCGATTTTAATCTCATAGTTGAAGGGAAGACAGTGGGTGTATACACCTACGCCATTGTGATCGATTCTGAGCCATGTCACCCACAGTCTCCAACCATTGGTTACAATAGTCACGCGGACCCCAACCAAGTAGTCTGCATCTACCACCATGGCTCAGACCAGAAGTTAGTGACTTCGAACACTGATGCCACGTTTCGGTTTGGCCACCCCTAACTTTCTTCCAACCATCTCCAACACCGGTTAGCATTGTGCGATGTGGTAATCGGTGTTCGGACATACGTAACACGTGGCCCAACCATTTCAGTCGATGAAGATTCACAACCTCATGAACTGATTTGCCATCATTCCCTAATAACCTGCATCTAACGTCACTATTACTTACCCGGTGATCCCAGCAGACCCCAGCAATATTTCTAAGACATCTGTGATCAAATACTAGTAGCTTACGAATATCTTCAACTCTTAATCGACACGTTTCGCAGCCGTAAAGTAGAACAGTGCAAACTGCCGTGCAGTATACTCTTCCTTTTATTGATAGACGGACATCTCGCCTTCGCCATAGGTGACGTAAGTTAGCAAAAGCCAAACGAGCTTTTCGAATCCGTTCTGACACTTCATCAGACACCAACACATTAGGGTTAATCACACTTCTAAGGTAAGTGAAGTTGTCGACGCGTTCAACTACTTCCCTCCCTATCCTTAGTTCAGGTGTTGACGCAGACCAGTCCTAAAGCAACAACTTGCATTTAGAGAGGGAGAAGCGCATTCCAAACAGCCTGACATTGTTGCTCAGTGCTACCAAAAGACTCTGAATTTTATCAGCGTCTTCACCAAACAGGACTATGTCATCTGCACATTCTAAGTCAAGAAGTGGACATCCAGGTAGATCAATTCCTGGAAATCCAGTCGACGAAAACGTTATTTCCATCAGCAGGTCTATGATGAAGTTAAACAAAAATGGAGAAAGTGGACTCGACCGAAGCTGCTACCTTGACGCGGTGGTCGGGCTTGCCTATCGTGATGACCCAACCGAGCTATATTGGCTGGAACATATGTTCCTGTAGGTTCTACCATGCCAGGCAGGTCGATTGGAGAACGGTAAGACTAAAAGCAGCAACTCAAGGTCTGAGGGCGAAGTCGTACTGCTGACTGTAGAGGGGTGTGACAGCAGTAAGGTGTTTCCCTCGGACAACCAGCATGACAGCGATGCTGCCTTCCCACAAGGAGGGGTGGGGTTAGAAAAGGTCGACCCTAAAAATGTCACACCTCACCTTACCTCACGGATTTCCGTCTCCGGCGGTAAGGCCCTTTGAAGAACGGAGCTAACACGTCAAAAACCTTCCACAAAAAGGCCGTGCGCGACCGGCCTCAAGCAGTTGTCCCTTGGGCTCTGCGGTCACGCTCCCAGGTCGTCAAGACCAACACTAATCCAATTTCCTTTTCAGGTTCCTCAAGAAATACCCTTCCACGGTGTGGGCAGCCGGGAAGTGACATCAGCCCTCATACCCGTAACAGCACAAGAGACCAAGGTGGTCACATTCAAATCCTTCCTACACCTCCTAATACCTCTCTTATCTCCATGACTAACCCTCCTCACGTCTCTTTATCACCTCGCACCGCTAGGGCAAACGATTCGAGTACGTGGAACGCCATTCCTGGTCTCCTGAAACCACGCTCTAAACTACACGTAGGAGCTTTTAACGTACGAACACTTTGCCAAATAGGACAGCAGGCTTCCTTAGCTAAAACTTTAGAATCTCGCGCCATCGATGTGTGCTGCGTCTCCGAAACGCGCATACAGGATCCAAGTAGCGTCATTCATTTGACCTCACCATGCCAAAATAAAGAACCGACTCGATTTACGCTTCGTGTATCTGGAAGCCCTGATTCTGCTTCCCGTGGCCTCGCCGGCGTAGGTATAGCATTGAGTCCTAGGGCAGAACTAGCTCTCTTAGAGTGGATCCCAGTAGACAGTCGTTTGTGCGCTGTCCGACTGAACGGAACAGTAAGAATCCGGAAAGATAGGGACACTCGTCGTTGCCTCTTCGTCGTCTCTGCCTATTCTCCCACTGACTGCAGCTCAGATGATGTAAAAGATGAGTTTTACAGAAAGCTTTCGGACCTTCTCCGAAAAGCTAGGCGCTCGGATGTAGTAATAGTGGCCGGTGACTTTAATGCTCAAGTAGGTAAACTAAGCGATAGGGAAAGACACCTAGGTGGATCTTATGGTGTCGTGGCTCAAAGAACAGATAATGGCGACCGTCTGTTGCAGCTATGCTCAGATAACCGCCTGTTCCTTGCAAATACTAACTTTAAGCATAAGGAAAAACATCTTTTAACATGGCGACCCCCTAATTCGTCCCAACGTTGGACCCAAATAGATCACATCGCTATCAGCCACCGATGGAGGGGCTCGATAGAAGACTGTCGCTCATTCTGGAGCACATGCCTAGATTCAGATCATGCTCTAGTGCGAGCGCGTATTTGCTTGCGTCTTACTGGACGTAGGAAAGACGCTGCAAGGAAACCTCTTAGGGCCCTACTTAATGATAGTCAAGCTAAGAGTATATTTCAGGAACAACTAGGAAAACAGTTAGGCAGCCATGTATGTGATGCCCACCCCGATGCAGCATGGAATGATATCCGAAAAGCTGTGGAAACAGCAGTGATATCTGCTAGTAAGGTAAACCAGAAGGTTAGGGAGCAACACTGGATCTCAGCAGCATCTATCGCACTGATAGATGCTCGGAAACTCATTCCACCTGGCTCTGAACATAATGAAGAGCGGAGTCAGCTTAAGCGCAAGCTGACAAGAAGTCTACGCAATGATCGCGAACAGTGGTGGGTAGCGAAAGCAAGAGAGATGGAAAAGGCAGCGGCAATAGGTAATAGCAGACAATTGTTCAGACTCGTTAAGGAAACCGGAATTAGGAAACCGACCGTTAGCGAAACAATCTCAGAGAAAGATGGACATATTATTCATTCTCAATCCAGGAGATTGGATCGATGGGCAGAACACTTTAGGGATCAGTTCAACTGGCCTTCAGCCACACTTCGGTTTCCCACGATCTCCAGTCAACCTGAATGGCAAGTTAATGTAGGTCCTCCGTCTCTTTACGAAGTTGAAAAAGCCATAGGAAATCTGAAACGAGGGAGAGCAGCAGGCCCTGACAGGTTTACTCCTGAGATTTTTAAGGATGGTGGTCCAGTATTAGCAATGAGATTAACTGAGGTCTTAGGTAGAATTTGGGAACTGGACGTAATCCCATCTGACTGGTCTCAATCACTGATTGTGCCAGTCTATAAGAAAGGACAAAAGTCCTCTTGTGACAATCACAGAGGAATCAGTTTGACTAATATAGTGTCTAAAATATTAGCTTCAATAATACTTCGACGCCTAATCAAAGCTCGTGAAGAGCAGACTAGAGAAAACCAGGCTGGTTTTCGACCTGGACGTGGTTGTATAGATCAGATATTCACACTACGTCAGGTTCTAGAACACAGACACACATTCAGACGCCCCACAATGGTAGTATTTCTCGACCTTAAGGCGGCATTCGACTCTGTTGATCGTGAGGTTCTATGGCAGTGTTTGTCACTGAAAGGAGTACCAAAGAAGTACATTAACCTTATAAAGGCTCTCTACTCGAACACAACTGGTCGAGTGAGAGCTTATGGCGAACTGTCATCAGAATTGATTACCTCAAGTGGTGTTCGTCAGGGCTGTCCACTCTCCCCATTCTTGTTCAACTTTGTCATCGACGTACTTTTAGAGATAACACTCTCCTCATCTAAATTTCCAGGGGTTGAACTTCTACCGGGAGGTTCACTTGTTGACTTAGAATATGCTGATGACATAGTTTTATTTGGTGAAGACGCTGACAAAATGCAGAGTCTTCTGACCACTCTAAGCAACAATGCAAGCATGTTCGGGATGCGATTCTCCCCTCGAAATGCAAAATGTTGCTTCAGGATTGGGTTACATCGACACCCGAACTAATGATAGGGAGTGAAGTAGTTGAGTGTGTCGACCGCTTCACTTATCTTGGAAGTCTCATCAGCCCTTGTGGTCTGGTGTGTGACGAAATCTCAGCACGGATACAGAAGGCTCGACTAGCTTTTGCCAACTTGCGTCATTTATGGCGTAGGCGAGATATCCGTCTATCAACCAAAGGACGTGTTTACTGCGCAGCAGTTCGTTCCGTCCTACTTTATGGCAGTGAAACATGGCCGGTAAGAGTAGAGGATATTCGTAGGTTACTAGTATTTGATCATAGGTGTCTTCGAAATATTGCTCGTATATCATGGGACCATCGAGTAAGTAACGCAGTTGTTAGGAAACGGGTACTAGGTAAGGATGGCAAATCAATTGATGAAGTAGTGAAACTTCATCAGTTGAGATGGCTGGGACACGTGTTACGTATGCCCAACGACCGACTGCCTCGACGTGCTATGTTCAGTGGTATAGGAGTAGGTTGGAAGAAAGCTAGGGGCGGCCAGACCAAAACATGGCACAAGTCCATGAAGTCACTGACAAGTGGACTGAGTCATGTTGGTAGGTGTAGACTACCTGGTTGGGGACCGCGAGATGATAGCAACCGATGGTTAGAGACCCTGAATGACATGGCTCAAAATCGTTTGCAATGGCGCAGGTGCATCCACTCTTTGTGTTCTCCCAAATTTTGATCTCCTTATTCCCCCTTGTCTCTTTTTTTCTCTTTCCAAATTTATTTCACTGGATTATACTCTTTAAATAACATCTCCAAACACTAATCTTCCCGATTACTGCTTATACTCTTATTACCTCTACCACTACGGGATTTGAATCGACCACTGCATCTCTGTGCTAATGTGGTGTGGCAACTCGAACTGATGTACGTACGTACGAAGTTCTACGTTGTTACTGACTGACTGGAGAAAGTGGACAGACTTGACGGACACCACTTGAGGTTGCAAAAGCAGACGACACTAGCTCTAACTCGACTAGTAGTGTTCGAGTAAAGAGCCTTCACAAGGTTTATGTATATCTGAGGTACGCCTTTCAATGACAGACACTGCCATAGAGTCTCGCGGTCTACTGAGTCAAATGCTGCTTTTAAGTCAAGAAAGACCACCATTGTCGGACGCCGATAAGTATGCCTATGTTCTAGAACATGACGAGTAGTGAATATGTGATCGATGCAGCCACAACCAGGTCTGAAGCCAGCTTGATTCTCTCGTGTTTGCAGTTCACGAGTCTTAGTTAGGCGTCCGATAATTATCGAGGCTAGTATTGTAGATACTACATTAGTTAAACTAATCCCTCTATGGTTGTCACAGGATGATTTTGACCCTTTCTTATATATTGGGACGATAAGTGATTGTGACCAGTCAGATGGGATTACGTTCAACTCCAGATTTTAACTAAAATATCAGCCAACCTAATCGCTAAAATTGGACCACCATCCTTAAAGACCTCTGGAGCCAATCCATCTGGACCAGCTGCCCTTCGTCGTTTCAGATTAACTATAGCCTTTTGAACTTCAGCTAGAGTCAGGGGAAGTTGTAGAGTAACTGAAGGCCAGCTGAACTGCTCCTTAAGCGTCTGGATTGGGAGCAGATAAGTGTCGTCTTTTACCGAGATAGTTTCACTTGCACTTGATAATTCCAGTTTCTCTTAGCAGTCTATAGAGCTGTCTTGTTTTCCCTATAGCCGCCGCCTTTTCCATCTCTTTTGCTTTCGTCGCCCACCACTGCTCAAGGTCGTTTCTTAGACTTTTGCTTAACTGGATCTCATTTGGTTACGCTCTTCATCGTGTTCAGATCCTGATGGGACGAGTTTGCGAGAATCCATCAGTGTGACAGACCTTGAAGAAATCCACTGGTTCCTTGTAACTCTGTGGTTTAAGTCACTAATAGATGTCACTGCTGATTCCACAGCTGCTTTCCAAGCAACGTCTGGGTCAGCCTTGCTTTCAGAGCTACCTAAGTGTGACCTCAGTTGTTCCTTGAACCTACTTTTGGTTTTCTCGCTACTCAATTCAGTTCTAATGGGTCAATTTACTGTGGCCTTTTTGCGTCCAGTGAGGCGCAAGCAGATGCGTGCTCGTATTAGAGCATGGTCGGAGTTAAAGCAGGTACTCCAGAATGAGCGACAATCTTCTACCGACCCTCTCCAACGATGACTGATGGCAATATGGTCTATTTGAGTCCATCGTTGGTTTGGTGTAGGGGGTCGCCATGTTAGACGATGTCTTTCCTTATGCTTAAAGTTTGTGTTTGCTAAAAATAAGCGATTGTCTGAGCACAGTTGCAGCAGACGATCACCATTATCTGTTCACTGTACCGGAATACCCAAATATCCACCTAAATTTCTTTCTGTTTGGTTTAAACTACCTATCTGGGCATTAAGGTCACCTTCTACGGTTACTATGTCTGAACGTTTAACTTTCTGAAGAAGTTCAGAGAGCTTTCTGTAAAATTCATCTTTCATTTCATCCGAACTGCAGTCAGTGGGGGCGTATGCAGAAACGACAAAAAGGCAACGACGTGTGTCCCTATCCTTCCGAGTCCTTACGGAGTCGTTTAGCCGAACAGCATATAGACGACTGTTAACGGGGATCCACTCTAATAGTGTTTGTTCCGGCCTCATGCTTAGTGCTATGCCTACACCTGCCAGTCTACGAGAACTAGCCATCGGGTCGATAGATACACGGAGGGTGTATCTCGTCAGCTCTCCGTTTTGCCGAGGTGAGGTCAAGTGAATGACCACACTAGGATCTTGTATGCGTGTTTCGGAGACACACCATACATCAACGGTACGAGATTCTAGGGTTTTAGCCAAGGAGGCCTGATGGCCGATTTGACATAGGGTGCGTACGATGAAGGCTTCAATGTGTAGTTTGATGCGATTTTCAGTAGACTTGGGACAGCGTTTTGCGCACTAGAATCGTTGGCTATGGTGACACTTGAAGAGGAAGCCAAAAGAGGAAGTTAAGAGTTGAAAGTCGATGTAGGAGGAATAATAGGAATTGGAGAGGTTGATTATGAATACAGTGGTCTTAAGTGCTGTTAGAGGTATGAGAGCGGTTATCATTTCCCAGTTGCCCACACCGTGGAAGGGTTCTTCTGCAGGTGCCTGAAAAGGAAATGTGGTTAGAGGTGGTCTCGGAGAAAGCCCATAAGGTCATTGATGAAGAACAATGACTATTCAACGAAGGACAGTTTTGGGTGCAGTAATTTCTCATTACTGGTCAGTTTAATTGTGGTTAGGGTGGTCAAACGTTTTACTTTTACATTAAAGTAATCTTTGAAAACTTACACTATTTAAATAATTAGATGAATATTGATTAAGCACATCAGGTTTTATATTTCGGACAGGAGTATTACTAGGTAAATCAACACCGATTAGTTTGGTTTAGAATTCTGTTACAGTACATTGCTAAGTGTAAAAACCAGTAATGGGATTTCGACCCATTTTTAATATGGTTTTCGTCGAATGACAAGTACTCAGCTTATTTATTCTAATCGCTTCTTAATGATGTATAATCAAGAAACCTTGATTACTTTTCTACTGGGTCAACCTTAAGAAACTTCATCTGTAAAACTGGTGGCTTTATCCTAGTTGGTGAAGCAAGGAAGAGACGAGGATAGAATTCGTTCTGTTCATGGTATTGAAGTCAGAGTCACGAATTATAAGCACAATGTACGAAAGTATTATATAGTCCCCATAAAAAAATAAATTAAGACTCAGAAAATCGCAAAATGCTCCTTCAGATTAACTGACTTTTCAATGCTCGCTTTAATCTTATGTCTTACAATGACAGTGGGATCAAATCACGATAGAGTAAAGTAACAAACCACAAATAACAGCTAGCATAGTATAAATGAACTGCCAATTCCTAACTTACCAGCTTTGCTGCAAGTAAATGTTTCATTGTACGTTTTTTTTTCCAGATTTACTGGAAAAGGTCTCTTGAAGCGAGTATTAGTTGGTACGATTTTGCGTTCCTTTGACAAAATTCCAGCAATTCCTCCCTGGTTTGAGATACACCATCAGGATTAAAATGAACAGCATTGTTCCCAGTAATTGTGACCCTAGGTCCAACAACAGTATTTGAAACACCAGGGAGAGCCAAGGTTTTTGGATCGTCCAAAGGTACCTAGACAAATGATAACGAGAACTCAAGGTTGAACGTACAGGTGCAGAACACTGGAGAGAGGGAAAAAAAGGAGCCAGTTTAATTCTCTGCTTTTTTTTCGTTTTCTTCAACTAGTTCGGCGAAGGATGCATCATCTTCCGTGGTATTATTAGCCATGTATTTATCCAAAGACATAGCAGTTGGATCACCTAAAGTCTCCAAGTTACTTTCCAATTCAATGTCTACTCTTTTCAGGGTTATGAGAATCGGTGCGAAGTCCACCTCTATCTTTAAGCTCACTGGATTCATCATCAGCTCCCTTTTCTTCGTTTGCGGTAAGGCTGGGGAAAAAATCCCGTTGTATTATTTTTCCCAGATGCTAAAATATAAAATGAAAAGGTTGATAAACACTTATTGCAAAGTAACGTTACAAAACATGCACCGACCTCTTTTTGAAACACTTCCTGTTAGCTACAAAACGTCATTTCATTACAGACATCTCGAAATATGAGATTCTGTAAATTTAGAGGATACAAGTAATCTTGATAACACGCAATGAAACTGATAGTCGTAAACAACAATGAATTGACTGGAACATATTATGTATTAGCCAGGAAAGAAAAAATCCTTCCCTAATTGTGGTCGATCACATGAACATGGCAAATTCAGCAAAACCCAAACACAATTGAACACCCGGTCTTAAGTAGCATAACACCATATACCTGGTCACATAGTTTGTACAGTACCAGCCACCTTACGTTTATACAAACGGTCAGTAACTGTCAACGAAGAGCACGGCACATGTATACAGTTGCTCCAATAGCATGACGGGGTGAAAGTAAAGAGGTTAATAGAAATAAAAAGATATAATCGAGTAGTAATTATAATATTTGAGAAAATGGCCTTGAAGACAACGTAAGAGTAACAAATAGTAGGTATTCTGAAGCTTCAAGTTACTTTGACATTTCTAACAGACGCCACAAACATACATGGTACAAAAAATAATCGCAAAACTCGTGACGAGTAATTATAAATAATCTTCATTAATGTGTCGAATCGAGTTAAGAAAAATGAACTCATCAAATCAACAAAATGAATAAACTCAGAAAGATCTAGTGATACCTCCATATATTCTTCTTCATCCCGGACTGTTTGAGTTGTGATTCGGCCCTGGATTGGATTGAAACTAATAAGTTTCTTCTGACCACTAACATCGTGTATCACTTTAGACGATACTTGATCCATGAGATCAAAGTAGCGCTTAAGGCAAGTTTTCCGCTCAAAAATTGGACGATGTCAGGTAAATCAATTTTTTGTATGAGCTCATTTATCGCTTTGCGCATTCTTCTTTCTGCCTGAGTACCATTTCAGGTCTCGTTCATGTTTGTTGTGCCACAGTTTAACTGCTTTATTGCACAATTGCAAATCATGTTGGTCGTTATTTCATTGAAGAATCATCAAGCCCCATTCTTCTGACTGAACCAACTTTGCTTTATATGTTTCTTATATGACAGACTGGTAGTCAATAGAACCTCTCCAAGGTCAGGGGTCGCTGACACGAATGAAGTAACGTCAACCCATAGGCACAAGCAGTAGTGGTTCCACCTCGTACTTCTCATATGAATCTTTGCTACTACATACTGTTGTTTAAGGAGGTTTTTAGATTACTAGTACAGTCAACGAGGAAGCAAACTCGCCTGATTAGGTTAAGTTATCCTATATTGGGCACCAATCAGTTGGTGTAACTTCAAATTGGTCTATGTTGTCACATTATTCCTATATAAATCAAGTAAGCCAACCTTTCATATTAGTAATACCTTTTCTAACTCCTCACATTATTGACAAGTAACAGTAGTTAAATGAGCTTTTGTTGCGACTCTTTATGGCTCCCACTTCTGCTGACTAAGTCTTTTATACATGTAGTTACCATTCGTTTTATATGTAGAACCAACCAAACTGGTTGTTTAAGAAGACCTTTATTCAGATCATGGAACAGAGTGGTTTGAGAGCTAGTTTCTTATCGTCAGCACACAAAAGTTTCAACACTCAATATAGGATGATAAGACATATAGTACCCACGTAAAAAAGGGTGTAAGTAAGTAATTAAGCTAGAACGTTTTGACATAACGAACTCTTAACTACCCATTTTAAACTGTCGCATGTCCACTTATACCTGAGTGACCATTCATGATACTACTGAATGTTATTGTATAGTCATTTTGACAGAAAACGGTGTTCCTGCCTATATTAAAGGATGAAGAACAGTTACCTAACTTTTGGTTTGTCTTGAACAATTCAGAAGTGCCTGACCTTCAAATGGCTAGTCATCCTAAAGGATATCTTTTGGATCACTACTTTATTCTTCCTCTGTCACACACAATTTCCTAATCTTCATTTTTTACTCCCTCATTCAACACTGTCTGGGAAATTGTGAATTAGTAGTATAAGAGTATTAGAATATTACTTTGAAATTTTCAGACTAATGCATTTTAGAAATTCGACTAAGCTAATAGGTCTTCAACAACTGCAAGCCACATTTTATTTGAATGAAAGCATCCGTATAGGCAGATGAAGTTACAATTTGTAGTCTTGTAGGGTGGCGTCGAGTTGCAGTTGACTATGATCACCACTACACTGAGACTACATACCATTTATCGAGTTAGATCCCACCGTAGGCCAAAAACCAGAAGGCAGTTGATGGTCATAATAAGATATAGTTGTTGGCAATCTAGTGGTATCGAAAGAATAACGAGATCGTAACAAATATTACAAGTGGAACTACTGAGCGTGACTGACAGCGTGCTTGGGTCACAGTCGACGGGAAAATGTATATTTTTAGTACAGTTAAACAAACAAGTATAGTAAAACAATTACTGGTACAACTGGTTGTAATAATCATTGTTTCCATTATACCAATCTCATTCTCTTGATAAAAGTAGGTCACTACAACTTAGTAATATTTCGGCGATAAATAAAGCCTAATCATGTGATTTTTTACAAAAGGATGATAACTTACATCATGTTTTTACAGATTGAAATATTAAACTTTTAAATGTAACATCACTAGATCGTAAAGTGTATTTCTGTAAATAAAATCAACTCCATGTAGATAAAAATTCACATTTATCAGTAGACAAAAATGTTTACTGAATCATGTCCTTGTGAGGAAGTTATTCACATTGTTTTCCTAGATTATGACATCTTTTATTTACTGAATCAAAATGTATGTGATATGAAAATCCGTCATATAAATACATAAATCTAAGCATTTTAGTATCCTCAATACCTTCAAAAAATTATATATTCTAAGTTGTGCACTTTTACGATACTTGGCAATCCACAGAAGCCATCAATACCAATAAAATATTGATGTATTTCTGTTATCTGAATTAAAAAAATTGAATTTCCGGCACTTCGCGTCTTAATGAACCTGGAATTGGCAAGTCAAACCTTGCCATCAATACTTATAAGGTAATCACTAAACTTTTGAAATTCATTAGATTTTATTAACTAAATTCTTTTATTTTCGTTTGATATTCCATATATTTTATAATTTTATCTTACAATTACTCTGCTTTAAAAGCGAAACCGTCATTATGATTATGTTATTATCCTATAAAAACTTCAGAACACCAAGTTGACACGTAAGTTAATCATCGTTCTTAAGTTTAGAAGTCATTTTCTCTGAATTTGTGTATCTTACAAGTTCAAACACAAACAAGTTAGTTTAAGAACTTTGATTCTCTATTTCCCATATAAATTAACATTTATTTGCGCTAAAGTAATTTTATCCATTACTTTACTTCTATAGAAACATTTATTGTTTGTTTACCCATTTGAAGTTTCCTTATAACTTAAAAACTTCAGCCTCTATTCAACTATTTTCCTTTACTTATTTAAATTACCTCAGGCTAGTTAACTCTAACTCACAAAATTAGCCTAAAGGTAAAATGTAGGTTAACATTGTTCTGGCATTGTCACTGCGAACTTCTATATTTTTTAATATGTTACTTTTAAATTCTTACTAGCTAACCTATTCATTTGTATTTCTTTCGTACCTTGTTTCGCCTCATCTCATCATACTCCGTTATTCTTTATCGTTTCTTCTTTCCTAGAGCATTCCTAAAGCGTTTCTTAATCATTCATCTGAACCTGTGTAACACTGACATACAAATATGTACCTATTTATAATGAGAAATGCCTTGAGGTGATCATTCAGTATTGGATGTTTTAAAATCGGAAACACGTTACTCTCTACAATATATATATATATATATATATATATATATATATAAACGATAGATTGTACGAGATGAATAAAATCGCATCTTGGTTATAATGATGATATTCGTATAGGTTCACAATAAATAAACTATATTGTATTACTTGGAAAAAAGTGAGTTCAACCAAACATGTACAATACGCGTGTACTAAAATTTAGAAAATTTATTCAGTTAAAGTGATATTGATAAGTAAACTAAATTAAGGTAGTATTATTTGATGTTTTATTGTATTAATTATTATGTGTTAACGGTACCTCTAACTCATGACAGTTTTTCATTTAATATCAAGTGATCATTATTAAATCAATATTATTATCATACATTTTGCCAAAAGTTCCATAAATTCATTGATTTCTTTAGGTACTTTTGAGATTACCATGAACTTATGTGCCTGCATCCCAGAGTTGATGTTCACTCAGGTACTCGAACCCAGTACCGTTCTCTTCAAACGCCATCGCGTTATCCACTTAGCTACTGAGTCCTGACGGTCACCTGCTTGTGCAGTCGGGTGAAGTTTAAAGTCACTTGGTGTTGTTTTACTTGTATCTTCCCATTGCTATTTAGGACTGTAATTGATCAATCTCATGTTGACAAGTCCCAAATAGGACGAAACGTGCTTCCTGGATTCCATTGCTAGCCACTATCCATCTTTGCTTAAAGGCATGTGACCTAAGGCTATATCAAGGCAATCTTCACAGGATGCACATATGCCAATAAGAGATTGACCAATTGCAGTCCTAAATAACAGTGGGAAGATACAAATAAAACAACACCAAGTGAATAAACTTATGATATCTGTTTTAAACAATATGTACTAAAATGAACAGAAATATCCTGAAAAAAATATACTAAATTTATCTTACTGAACATATATAATTTACTCTTACCCAAAAAACTAATTAGTTGTTTTTCTATTTAGCTATTTTATTGTTTTTATATTCTTTAAAATTATGAAAATGATTAAGCCATAAAAACACCAAGTTTATATGATCTTAATTACTAGCGAATTCATCATTTAAATAATATATAATCCCAATAGTAAGAGATGAGATATATAATTGGTTACGTTTGACTCAAAATCAATGAAATTTACTTCATACCTTAAACAAACCAAAAAATTAGATTAGATTAAAAAAGGAAAACTCATACTAAAGTAGGACTTCTAAATTCATAAATATTTAACGTAAACACTTATTGCTGAGAGTTGAGTCTAGTGAAAATTTGAAAAAAAAAATAAACACTTTAGGTGAATGTTTACACCTTCATAAATAATTATTGTCTCAACTTGAATAATTCCAGAGTACTGGAGTTAATTGGTAGAACAATTTAAATCTGAACCGGTTCAGTCAACGAAGAATAATACTTCATTATTTCAATACTAATAATCTATGAATACGAAACGAAATTTTGTGGTAAGTTTTTGGGAAAAAAAGAAATTTTGTGAAGTGGTTTTATTATCATTATTATGTACAAATTTGCCACTGTATTCAAAATATAATGAGGCATATAATTATACCTCTTTCAATTTATAGAACATAATGATACCCGAACAGATCACATCATTATCTGAATTATCATCTCATATACCAATATCAACTTCAATTCTACCTAGTACAACACACACTACTGAGTTGACGATTGATAGGACAACAGAACTTCTCAAACTTATACAGACAGCTTCTAATGGACAAAACATACTCAAGCTAGATTGGATGAACTTTCAAAGTTCAAATGAATTACAAGAGTATACAGAACATAAAAATAAAGTTGACGAATACGCTAATAGTAATCAAGGTGATTTCGTTAATATTCAAAGTGAATTAAATGTTGGCCTGAAAGATCTCATCAATCAATTACAACCATGTCAGCAAATAGGGATGGAAAGTCATAATTGTGCAACTGACAACTCAGAGAGCATTAGTACGTCTGAATCTAACAAATCAGTTACCATGATTCATGATAGTAGTGAGGTCAGTACATGGAATCCATCTAAATTATACCAATTATGCAATGAAATAAAACAGTATCAAGAGTATTCTGATGTTGACAGCAGATTATCAACTGATCTAATATTGCTTTTAAATACGTTGAATGATTCGGCTTCGTCAATTGTTGCATCAGTAAAATTAGGCCCTAAGAACTGCTTAATAATGATAATAACAATCAATCTAATTATGAAGGATACAATATGATAAAAACTAACAACTTTGCAAACATTGAATGTTTTAATAAAAATGATTTATTGAATATAACAAATAGTGGACGATCTCAAATGCAATCAACAAATAAAACCTCCAACAATAACAATGAACTTTTATTTACGGAATCACAAGGAAAACTCACAAGTAGTCTTTTCAAGTCTAATGATAACATCAATTCTTTGGGAATCCAGCATGAAGTTCCACAACAGCAACCACAATCTAAATTATATGATACTTCTAATAAAAGGCCAGTATTACACTGGGCTAAACTTGGTGTACCTCAACCTGCCAGTCCTACGAGATATTCAGCTCCAGTACATATAGATGTTGGTGGTACACTATATACATCTTCATTAAAAGCTTTAACAAAGTGAGTGAAAATCTTACTAACTACTAACATATCACTAGTTTAAAATTATTAATCAGTATAATATCCCAATTGTTAACTATTAGATAAGATGATTAGGTTGAAATCGTCATCTCAACTTATCCTCATATCTCACAAAACAACATATCGTTTTTAGAAGGTAACTTAGGAATACTACGAATATTTTTGAAAAGAAATATTGATGATTTGAAACAAAAAAGCTGATCACTTTAGTTCACATTCTAGTGATCATAAAATTGTATCACGATGTATATAAGTGTTTGTTATGTGTGTTTTTTTAACTTTGTGAAAAGATCAGTCAGATATATTTAATTAACATCTAAATAACGCCTGAAGATACACAGTTATTCAATAGAAAAATAGCAAATTTGACACTGTTTTTATTCATACTTTGTTTACAATTTTAGACATATATTGCTTTATTGTAATTATCTAAAACCAATTATTTGAAAATATTTGATGACAAGCTAGCATTATAAAAACACCTCTTGTAAAATAGAAGAAATTAATCTTGTGAAGTTTGATACTGTTTACTCTTTCCTAATTATTTTATAACTCTTCGGAAATCCGACATGAAATTCTTACTTATGTTACAATGGAATATATAATATTCTCTTTAAAAGCAGGAAACCATTGGCAAAATCTGTCACAAAGGTAACATATTCTCAAAGCGGTACTTTAAAAAGTTCCACTCCCTTAAAAGCTACTAGGTACATGAGTAAGTTGTTGAAACACGTAAAAACTAAATTTATAATTTATACAGATACATATTCTAAATTACCGTTTACTGAATTGCCGAAGCTTAGTTGTTTTACCAGAAAGACGATGAATTTCAGGTTTACATTGACTCAGTATATTAACCAGATACTTCTACTGTAATATCAACTTTTGTCACAGGTTTTATATTTTAGCAAGGGCAAGATAGGGTCTCAAATAATGATATGTTAATTTACACTGCAAATGCTATTAGTGCACCTTGATTTTAAAAAATCAGCGAAATATAAATTTAACATTATGTCAAAGTACTTTTTTCCAATCAATGATTCTTTCTTTATCTTAAAATATGTAACTGTACGAAAATAAGAAATATTCGAATTATCGTATTAACTAAGAGTTCCGGGAACAGTGCAATTTAAGCCAAACAAAACTAGATGAGCACAAATGAACGTATTGTATTTGGAATTCTTAATAAGCAGGGAATCAAATACAAAAAAATCATTAATTCATACGCATACCACAAATTGTTTTGAACTGAAACACCAAACTTCAATGGAAAGACAGTGGTTTTTTTACTGTTATTCTAAATTCATTAATGTCTTACTAGAAAGTAAAAGTATATCTCATATTTCCGCCAGCACACCCTCTCTGAAATTCAGAAAACACAACTAATCATGGTTGATTTCTGTTTATTAACCTAACTTCCAAGTACAGGCTTATGTTCTTAACTTAAAGCCATATCTTAGAGGAAATTCAGTGATAATACCAGGTTTCTCCAACCAAAATATGTGAATAGAGATTCAAAAACTAACTTATTTCTGAAAAACTGTGATTATTATAGTACCTCATCTAATCTTTAGTTTTACTTGAGAAATCAAATAGGTGAAAGAATATTAAACAGAGTAAACTTTTTTTATATTAGCAAAATCGGCGAGACTATAATTTATGGATGAACCAATCAGAAATAAGATGACAGGTTTTGAATTTTGACGCGAAACTCACTCATTGATACTGTTTTGGCATTATAGGTGATGTCAGTCCGTGATGAAAACATTAAATCTAATTCATAACCCTAACGTTCAACTGTAACTCATAATTCTAATTCCTCACACTGATTTGTAATCTTAATTTGGTCGTAGTTGTTAGGCGGATACTCTCGAAATCACTCTAGCGTTGCTAAAAAGTTGTCAATAAATTATAGTCTCACCGCGAAATCTTTTCTTCTTGTCGTAAATTAGAAGCTTTATGGAAAATGTTATGATTCTGTTAAATTGAGTTCTAATAACATGACTAGTAAGTAATGTGTTTACCATAAAATATGAATTTCTTGTATTCCATACCAAAATGGTTTAGAAATCTAAAGCATTCATGAATCACTTCTCAAATATACCTATAATCATCAGTGTTTCTTTTTACGATATAATTTTAGAAACGTTTTATTTACGAAATATATCATATGAATGAAACATATCTCACAGTTTTCATTAAAGCAATGATCTTCTTTCTTACTGCATGCTGAATTCTCATTTCCTTCAATCTCATTCGTTGTAATAAGAAAAAACACAAACCAGAAAGAATACCTTAGAATTCAATAATTCCGCTCAATATTATAGATAAACTGATAAAATGTAAAACAGCACTATTTTAAAGCGTGACAACTGAGTTGGTTTTCTATTTACTAGTAAATAAACTATCTGGAAGCTATTTCGTCATAATATCACACAATTAAGATCTAAATGAATTAGCCTTCTGGGAAATTATAACTTCTCTAGTTCATAAACGATAGCATACGCACAAACCACGTTTACATCATAAAGGTTATATTGCTCAAGGCTAAGCTGATCAAATCCCTGGCCTAGAGCAATCTTGATTTTGGTGATTAGCAAAAAAACGATAGTTGAAGTTGATAAGAGCGTCAACTTAATCAGTAACTGGAGGTGAATTATAGTGAGTATATACCTAATACATTAATTCAGTATAAAACTTAGTTATATGCACCGCTATCCATAAATCCATTTTAGAAAGCATGAATTCTTTGATACTCGTGTGTATATATGTGTATAACGATATATGAACACAGACTCAACCTGAATAATTATAAAGTCAGCACATTCAAAATGCCGAGACGCTTATATACATAAATTAAGGAAGTCTAAACTACAAAAACATATCAAATTAAACATAAAATAGTGAAATCATGATAAATGGAAATAAAATGAAATATTTACGGTTGTTATATATACAAAGACTATTTAATTTGACGCGTGAAGAACAATCCCTTGAGGGTTAATTATAATAAACTTTGTTAAAATTTAACATGTTACATTAAATTCTCGATGATTTCTGCACACGGATTTTTAAAGATCTGTATGGTTTAAATATGATTTAGGAAGCAATCTGATCGCTCTTCAACAACGGCAGTGGTTAGACATACGTAATGTATAATCCAATCTCATCAATCGATCAACAAACATTATAAAATAAATACTGAAGACATATTAGTTGATAATCGTTAACATCTATCTGTCATCTAGTTGGTATACAGTTGCTGGTATTGTGACAAGCCCACATGAGTTGTCCTAGCTTTCATGTAGACCGATTTATTCGTTCTTCTTCAGTCACATTTTGACCTTATCACTTATTCGCTTATTAACCCTGACTGTGTTAATTGCTCACCCTATCTATTCATTATGTAACTGCAACTTACTTTTGGTTTGACTAAAAATATTGAGTTACGTTTCATTAAATCGAGTTGGCTTACTCGCCTTCTCCGCTGTTCGTCACTTCGTTTCGTTTTGCTTCGCTTTCTTCACTTCATTTCTCTGACTGTATGTCCGGATCAACGAGTTTACGAAATATACATATCCAAAATTCATTCTCTTATTTGGCATATTTTATTCTGTTGTTCTCTAACGTGAATTAAGTCGATAATTATCTACGAGGGTAGCCATGATGTATATTTCGATAACATCATACGATCAAATCGGAGAGAGATCACGGCACCACAAAAGTGGTGAGCCCATCGATAACCTCATCTGCAATATCATCACACTACAACAAAAAGCACTCTTTCAACAATGTGAATTAGTATTTGACAATAGTGAACCAGAAACCTGTGCATCAGCCAAGTCATAACTTATCGTAACTGTTAATCTCTTAACTCAGTTACTGTTTATCACCTTTCCTAACTTAACTATGTCATTAAGTTAGAATTAATGGTTAGGGTATGAAATTAAGTCATTGCTTACTGGCGTTCCGTACTTACTATAATCATTAGTTGGTGAACAAAACCAACTTCAAAATGAATGAAAGCTATATACTTTCAACTTGAATAACTTCCAATAGATTGAAAAGAACTTAGTTGTTTTACCGAACTAATCTACTAGTTTTCTATCTATTCATCTCGTTTCTTCAACTTGAAATTCATATGATTGAATTGTTTAAATCGCTATTCGAATATAAATTATGTTTGACTGGAAAAAAATGTCAAAAAAACTTCGAGTACAATTAGAAGTTGATGTGATCAATCAAGTAATTTACTAGAAATTCATTGATATAATCCTTAATGAAGTTAAGTTGTATTCACAATTGATTGATCACTGGGTGGTGATCAATATCATGTGTGTCAGGTCCTTCTTAGTGCAGATCGAATACTATCGACCAAGTTGCAATGTGGCCAGTAGTCTGGATGACTCAACATTGCGTGCACTATGTTGAGATAAGATGGTGGTTAGAGGTAGTTAACAGGAAACTCTGGACCCGGGTTTCATGCTATCTAGAATTCTTCAGGAACGTGTACCTGTAATCTTGAAGGAACTGATACTCCTTGACGGACTACACCCAGTGTAACTCAGCTTCATAGTTAAATTCATCAAATAATTTTCTTCATTAAAATGTTGGTACATGATTTATTGATTGAAATCTTTCAAAAACTTATTTTTAACTCTTATAGAAGATCAATGTTTTTTTCATCATGAATATATTTTTTCTCCGATGGAATAAATGTGATATTCACAATTTTGAACTTTTATTTTCCAACTAGATTTTTCAACTTTTATTCTTAATTCAGAGAATATTATAATGTAAATAGTCAGTCAATTAATTATCACAAATAAATGATCAGTTTATAAACATAAGCTAATAAATCATCTTCAATTATAAAGTGTATGAACGAATTATCAAAAAACCTAAATATACATATTTCAATATTATTCTATTCAAACTTCCTTCATCTTTATTTTTATGATATACTATTAGATGCTGGTAACTAGTTTTCTCTTTTTGGAAAATGAATCATTTAAAATGTGATAAATGAATGAATTAATTAAAAACAGAAAAAATCATACTGTAATAAACGAGAACACAAGTGGGAACAATCAAATGTATTTGAACACAAAATTACGGAACGGGTTAGTAATATCTGGAAAACATTCAGTGAAAACTTCATTTGCAAAATGTTAATTAATTGTCTCAGACTTCACTGTTCATTAGTTTCCACATCAATCATTCTTTGTTCTTATTCTCTTTTCTTCGATTTTCTTGACCTTCTACCTCCAGGCATTTCACTTTCGATTGGATGATACATACTACTTATGACTGTCGACATCAGTAGCACGCACCACAATACTAGGACATTGAAAAAGTCTAAAACGCTTTAAAGAATTCTTAATAATACATACATTGTTGTCCGTTATTATGTTAAAAACAGACCACCGATCACTGTATGTTTTATGAATTGTGTAAGAATATTCTGTTAGTTACTAAACTAAGTGAAGATATTGCTTTTTGTAAAAATTCAGTAGCTATCATGATTTATTAAGTTTACATTGAACAGACATTCCTGTCAGTGATAAGATAAACAGTTTGTTTTATTATGGGTTGTTCATTTTGAAAAGTGGTGATTTTCAAATTCATTTCGATAACTAAAATCTTATGTTTAGTCCATGACAATTAGAAATTTTGGGTAAAATCCCTATCAGAGTTGAATTTTGGGAAATAGGAGAACTAAGTAATAGGACCCTTACAGTATACTCCTAAATTCTGTTCTATGCACAAAATGAGACGAGTCATTCGTGTTATCGACTTTTTGATGCAATTTCAGTAGTATTTCAGTGCCATACTTTTATTAACATTGCATTTCACTTATCACAATTTGTTAGATTATTTCATGTTTATAGCGTTTCGAGTAATATATGTAGAAATAGGATCTGATCTGCTGGTATGCTGGCCTATATATAATAGTATTTTGGACGAATTCGAAGATATAGTACTTAACAGTTACTTCCCAATTGATTTTTTTCAAAGTTTTCATACATAGTCAGAGTTCAAGAAAGAGATTACCATTGGAAGTACATATTAACTCTATGCATTTGTACAATGTTATCCAACGTTTTGATTTTCCTTAGCAAGGCTGATAAATCTTTCGATATACACACACACTGAATACCATATAGATAATTTGTTATTACTTGTTATTAAACAGTGGTGAAATTCTTTTCGCTCCTTGTTTGATTGGATAGTAGCGTCCTAAATAATCTCATGATAATATGTGGTGGGTTTATCGTCTAAATGTGATTAACTGAAGCTTGTTGACTGCTGGTTGTTCACATTGAAAGAAAATACAACAGTATGATAAAAGTAAAAATTAAAATTCGATGCCTTTTTGGTTTCATCTCCGATTTGATAAAGCGTTTAGCGAATGACCCGTGAATTCTCGATTTCAATCTCACTGTTATTTATGTCAAATATCATTGTTACAAACACACACTCAATATGCCTTTTTGATTGGTTTCTAAACATGTAATGCTGTATTCGATGTATAAATGATCAAGATTTTACCTCAGTTAACATGACAATATGAATGTACCCATCATGCATGAGGCTAGTCACTAACACAGTAAAATCTCACACCTAGATTGTAGTCCAAAATTTTGATTTTAATACAAGTTATATGATTTCATACATTTATGAATTCCTTTGAGCGACGAGCTATAAAGAACTAAATATTTTCGCGATTATTTAAAGTTTTATAATCGTAATATTTTTTTAAATGACACAGGTACCCAAACTCAATTTTAGGCAAAATGTTCAACGGCACAATACCAATTGTATTAGATACAATGAAACAACATTATTTTATAGATCGTGATGGGGTATTATTTAGACATGTGCTCAATTTTCTACGTACTAATAAAGTTAACTTAGATCCTAATTTTACAGAATTTGATCAGTTAGTGGAAGAAGCAACTTTTTATGGGTTAGATGAAATGGTTAATCAACTCAAACAAATCAAAACTGAACTGAAGAGGAAAGAAACAAATAATAAGAAGTGTGCTCATGAAGAAAAAAATGAGACAGATATGCCATTTCCTCCAAAAAACAGTTGAAAATTGATACTGCACAAAAATCGGAGATTAGTAATATATGTTATGATTCAGTCGCAAACACTGCGATAGAAATCTCCACTCTTCCAGAATGTATAGCTAACAGTTCACCTTCACATCAAAAAGACCGATTTGGGCACACCTTGCCATCGAATAAAGTAACACAAAATAAATGTTTTTTTATATTAACAGAGATTGACAACATTTCACCACATCAAGGAAGAATGATCTTTTCAAAATGCAACAACCTAAGATTATCAGAATGTTTTAATGATTTAAATAATTATTTCGCTAATTATCTACCTAATTCTTATCAAATAACAGAATATGAAAATCATTCTGAAATAACATGGTTTATGATGTCAACATACAATCAACTTAAACTATGGGAATTATTATTAAATCACAACTGTGAACTGACTATTCAGTATCAAATAAAAAAAGCCGATAGAAATTGTAATATATGTTTATTTAGATCAAAATAGTGAATTATGAAGAGGCTTTTTTTACCTTACCATTACATTTTTGTTTACTTCGTTGATTTATTTACTTAGTTCTTCCCCTCTCAAAATATCATTAATCTGTTTTTGCAACAACTAAAAAGCAAATATTTATTACAATATAATATCTATTTAGATGAATATATGTTTTTAGATTATGTCTATATTTTAACTAGTTCCTTGTTTGTTGATCGATAGTTAGTTGCACAATTTCCGCACTTCTTACAGTTTAATTTTCAACTTCCGAAGTAAATCTGAGTTTTCTATTCTTTATGCTTAAACAGAATATTGTTCCTTGATTGATAGGAACACTTTTCTGTTTGATAAGTGATCCGTTCATATTCCTAACGTTTTAGTCACTTAACGTCCCGTAATTTGATTATTTCGTTACTGGTGACTGTACCTATCGGTAAAAATATTGTTTAGGTATATTTTGTTTACTCTGCACTCATATTAACTTTGACAGTGCTGTTCCTGAACCCTTCTGTAATTTTTTCTGTGTTATTATACAAAATATACTACTAGTTAAAGTCTTTCGAAGTATTGGAATTAAAAAGCAACTCATTGAATAATAAAAGACAGAACTATTATAACATCAACAATTCTGGAACTTACAGACAGCTACTAAACTTTTATCAGTTACTATATAACAACGTGTGTATTTACGGATAATGGCTTATGAATCATTGTGACAACTAAACTTCCAGGATCTGGGTTGAACCCAAAAGATCAAAAAAGCACATTTTACTCGATGAAAGCAAGCTACGTTCTTCTATATATCGAACAAACCCTTTCCGACTCATTCGTATTAAATTATATCAAAACAAAACTCCGTATCTAATTTAATTGTTCTAATGTAAGAAAAAATAAATTATATCAAAAGTAGAAAAGACGTCAAGTGGTACAACCTGGGCTTATAATCAAAGGATTTCATAGCGTGAAATAGCTTTTCTTAACGTCAAGAATAGTGTTTAGTAATTTCAACTGAGATAACCAAGATTCAGTAAGAGTACCTGTTACATCATCGGTCTGTCTACCCACCGACATACAGAAAACAACCTGTCTCAATCTATATTGAGGTCTTGACACAATAGGCTGACTGGTCTAACCTTGAGGCCAGAATCTCGTGGGTTCAAAGTGAGACTAACTGCCTTAGGTAGAGAGACGAAAACTATTCTATCACCTGATTGGCTGACAAGCACGAGAGAGGGAAGACGAATCAACTGGAGCACTTCACTATTTATTCCCGACTCTGATTCACTCACTGTCCATTGAGTTGAGTCTTGATAGTTAACATACTTCATAGTCCATTTGCAGCAATAATTAACAATTGTCAAATGCTGGACGTGAAGTGAATAGGCAACATTCAACAGTGTTTCATTACAAATACCTTCTAAAAAATGATCTCAAACTCAATCAAATAAGTACGTGGTCACCATATTTTTGAGAGGCCAAATACCTCACAATTAATTGACCACAGGGTGGTGATCAGTGTTATGTGTGTCAGGTCCTTCTTAATGCAGATCAAATCTTATCGGAAACATTGCAACTTGATCGGTAATGCTGCACTAAGAAGGAACATATATAGTCGTTTTCGCATAAATGTTCTGATGATCACAGGTTGAATGCCAATTATGACTTTTTGTGAGAATCTGCGTGACGAAGAGATAAAGAGTACGAAAATCTGGTACGCACTTACATTTGGATGTTTAGTATATTCATATTTTCTAGCATTTTCTATTCATCTAGCGGGCGAATGCCGCACATATCATCATACGTTTTACTGAAGATTTCATCTCAACCTCTAACTTTTAATTCATATACTTTCTTGATCCTGAAACTTGAGCAGGGCCTCAAAAGCGCGTTCATAGATGACACACGTAGATAGCCTTAGATCATAAACATGAAGTCCCTGTTGAAAATATTACTCTTATATTCAGTATTGACACATTAAATAGGCGGCAAAACGACAGATTTGATACATTTATTGAACAGTAAAAATAAGATGATGGTCCTCACATAAGAGGGATGCTCATAGACCGCTTGATGACCTCATTCCTTCCAAATGGACCACATTATTGCCTGTAGTGGTATTAGTCCTAACCATACCATCTTAATAAATGTACATGTTAACCCAGCTTATACATGCATTGCATGATAACATATCTATGCCATTTGAACTTAACAATTATATGAAGTGTCTTTAACGCTAGCGTATTTTTAGCGAGTTAGTTTTCTACAGGATGGGGTCGCTAACCCCATGCTCAACCCTCCTCCTTCGGGCTTGGGACCGGCAGCGGCCCTAGAGTGGCTCCATGTGGAGTGCCTTTGTCACTTTCCACAAAACCCACCATATTCGTTATTTCTATGCGTATTAGAGTTAACGAATTGGGCTACCATGTTAGTTGCCTAAAGGACACTGAACATAGTTAAGATAATAAATTCACTCCATTAAGATACCATATTACTGCACAGGTATAATAACTAAATTATCACCTAGTTGTTAGTCAAACAAGCATTTGAAATAAAAACCCTGGAGTCTACTACTAAAATTAACACCAAGTGAACAAATATTTCTGGTAGCAGTTTGTAATATGATCGGGCACCTCGGATCCGTTGATGCTACAAACGTCTGACATTTCCGAACCACCTAGAACAATGATGCTCATTTGACACTAGCCAATCCAAAATCAACACTATAACCAGTTATTCATAATGGTTTCTGGATATCGTCATGATTGATAAAAATAGTGAAACTATTAGCAAGATCGGTCGATAAAATGACCTATAATTGTCATCAAATAATGTTGTTTTCTCGTGATCATAATTAGTTTTTGTAAATGACTTCAGCATGTTTCTCTATTAGTTTCTCATTTGGTAAACATCTCAGAACCGCGTCAGTATGAGTGGAGGTTTAGTGACAAGATCATTCGCGACAATCATAAGTATGAGCAGTCGCGCAAATCCTTTAGAAACTGGAAACGTTACTGCCGAATTTGATCCAGCACTGACAGAGGTTCATGTCGTCGTCATAGACATGAGTTTAGACCTGTACTTCACTTGATTGCAACTTGCGTTTTTCCTGATAATCATTTAGAAGAAAGCATCGCACTACACTAGTATTTATGGAACACAAATTACTTCCTTACGCCTGTGACTCCTCGTGAAATAACATAGGCCGCTCACCAGCATTCACCATCCAACCCTGTCCTGGGCAATCCTTTCCAGCTCCTTCCAGTTGTTATTCATCCTTCCCATATCTGTCTTTATTTCCTGACGTAATGTGTTCTTTGGCTTTCCACTTTTCCGATTCCCTTCAGGATTCCAAGTTAGGGCTTGCCTCGTCATGCAGTTTGACGATTTGTGTAATGTATGACCTATCCATTTCCACCATCTCCTAATTTCTTCTACGGGTGGATGCTGGTTTGTTCTCTCCCGCAAAAAGCTGTTGCTGATGGTATCCGGCCAATGGATGTTGAGTATCTTGCGTAGACTGCTATTTATAAATACTTGTACTTTCCTGATTGTGGTTGTTGTAGTTCTCCAAGTTTCAGCTCCATACAGTAGAACTGCCTTGACGTTCGTATTGAAAATTCTCACTTTGATATTGGTTGAAAGTTGTTTCGAGTTTCATATGTTCTTCAATTGTAAAAATGCTGTCCTTGCTTTGCAAATCCTCGCCTTTACGTCTGCATCTGAACCTCCTTGTTCATCGATGATGCTTCCCAGGTGTGTGAAGGATTCTACATATTCCAGAGTTCCTCCATCAAGAGTGATTGGATTACTGTTCTCCGTGTTGAATTTGAGGACCTTGGTTTTTCCTTTGTGTGTGTTGAGGCACACTGATGCAGAGACGGCTGCTACACTGGCTGTCTTTATCTGCATTTGTTCATGTGTATGCGATAGGAGAGCCAGGTCATCTGCGAAGTCCAAATCATCTAATTGATTTTGAGCTGTCCATTGTATTCCGTGTTTTCCCTCAGATGTCGAGGTCTTCCTAGTCCACTCGACCACCTGAAGAAAGAGGAAGGGAGAGAGTAGACAGCCTTGTCTGACTCCGGTCCTTACTTGGAATGCATCTGTCAGCTGTCCTCCATGCACCACCTTGCACTGTAGTCCGTCATATGAGTTCCGGATAATATTGACAATCTTCTCAGGAACTCTGTCTGCACCAACAACTGGTATGTATGAATATAAACAATCAGTTTACTGAACATCAAAATATTGAGTTCAGAGCATGGACACACTCAAGTTTAATGAGTTGCTGTTATGTCTGCGCGAAATTGGCATGATTATCACCATTTTGACGCACTAAATAAATGCTCGATGGCGATTCATATTTATCAGCAATTGAAGTCACGGCTAAGCAATAATAGGATCGACAAAATTTCACCCACAGTTAAATAAACCGTATTAAGTTCAACAGATTAACTGCAACACCAATTGAAATTTGTCCTCTCTGTGGTTGCACTTTCGCTCCTTCAGTTAATCTACTAATGAGAGTGAAACTGGAAATCAACTAATGCGGAAAGCATACCAGTTTAAGCGTTGATTGACTTTATAATTTACATCAAAGACCATACCAATAAAAACTATGATACACCATTGATCGTTTTCTATTTCTAAACACCAAATAATTATACCGCCTACACGTCAACCTATTAACCAACGGTTATTACAATGCATCTTAATGTGACTTTTTAAAATATCTCTATAACCTCTCTTTGTTTGACGCTCAAATAATAATATTCATGTAGATTTTCACTTTGAGCGAGTTGAGAATTAAAAAAGGCATTTTGGGGTTGGTACTTGTAATTCACGATCATTTGCTACTGCGTTTTTCCATTCATCTTTCATTTTATCAATACCTGGAAGGTTCTTATTATTCTTTTGATTAGCTCCGGCATGCAAAGGTCTCACCTTGATTCTGATGAGGGAGCAGTGTAGTGTTATTCAATCCAACCGCACGACCCTTGAGGCAGAACATGAGATATTTGAAAAGCTTCGCATTTAGTATTTAAGACGGAAAGAAAGCCATTAATAGTGAACCCATGAACAATTAATCAAAATGGCATGGCTTGGTCATGAAAATATGGTCACCCCAAGCAACCCCATATTCTTGCGTCAAATATATTACTCTCTTCGTAGATCAAATGTATTCTTCAGAAACGATAAGCATCATATTGCTGATGGTCACGATCGGACGAATCCGTGTAGACAATGATGGGAGTTCCATGTAGGATTTTATAGATTAGGTAGTCGCATAATGACAAATCTACAGTTCTGGAATGTGGTCTATCATTATGGTAGAACTAAAATCGAATTAGACCATAATTCTACATGTCTTTCTTGTTATCTCTGGCCTTACAAGAGCTAGTTGGAGAGCTTTTGAGGGTACAGATGAACCTTCAGTTCTGGTATTACATGTATCATCCCTATTTACACAGAATAGACTAAATTAAGTTTGATACGGTCCTGGATACCTACTATTTGTCGGAGGAAAGTGCTGGTCAGTTGTATGCTTGATCAGAACAGGCTATAACCCGTAATTCGAAAATAAACCTCCACAAACGATAAAAACATTCATTTGCCTGATCTGACGGGCAAGTTATCACGCGGCGACAGATCCATGCAAAAGATAAGCATTAGGAATCCAACAATAACAAAACTTCAATGAGTCAGCATGTATAACATCAAGGCCATGTTAACATACCTTTTATCGTGTATACATATCGGTTTCCTATTTGCCACCTGTACAATAAGAAGCCCGTCTTCCTTACAGTCGTTCGAAATTTCAGGAAGGATGTGAAAGTCAGAGAGTATTGGCGTGATAATTAGCCAGATTTGCTACAAGTGTATTGTACGTCATACATCTCAGTTCACCACCTACGGTTAAGTTTAACGCTCAGAAGAAGAGAGATTATCCTGAGAACTTCTTATCGTGCAACTAGACCTAAAATTCCAGTGAAACTTGTTGTGAGTGTTATGCTATCAAATCCAATGTGTTGTCAGGTTCGTTAAAAAACTTCCTAACCGTCATTGATCACTTAAAAGTTCGTGGGAGTGCATAAGTGCAAGAGAGAGATCAGTAACGCAAATGAGAGTTCACAACAGGTTGAGAATGAGTTTCTCAGTCACCTGCTGTAGATTGACCTGCAAAGCTGACACATTCAACCGATTATAAAGTACTGTGTTTGTCAACAAATTTAAAAAATTAAAACAAGAGAGAAAACGTTCTGCACGTTTCCATCTATCATTCTGGAAGGAAGGCTGAGGCCGGTTTTAAGAATACACGTTCAAATTAATCACGGTAAGGATCCAGGATACAAAATACGACTAACACAGAAAATATTTCACAGCATCCCCAAAAGTAGCTGTTGATAATGGGATGAATTTCGATGTTCGAACCAGAGAAATCAAATAAGACATCAAAATCGTTAAAAAGTCCGTCGACTGAAAAAAATTAGCAAAATATTAACACTGAAACACCAAAATTTGTAAGAAGACGATGAAATGACCTTAACAGGACCCATAATAAAGAAGCACGCACTTCAGCCTTAAAGACACCGGAAATCAAACATATCCAGCCACTATGTTTACAAAAAAGTTCTTTGTGAGTGTAATGTAGTTTTGAAACTAAGGCACGACCGTCACTTTCAAAGAGAACGAATAAAAAAATCTAAGACATTTTCTGGATTGCCTCATTAACCATTGTTTTCTACATTTATTGAATAAAATAAACATGCATTATATTCTATCATAACCAAGACCCATCCCCTATGATCCAGACACTTGTCCAAGTCTGAAGGCCATAGAATTTCAAGCCAGATTTTGAAGATTTGCGCTACTTTCCAGATGGAAAGTCCCCTGGTTGTGAGGGTCCACGGCCCTTTAAATCATGTTTGGTTATCAGAAAATGAACTGGGGATTTTCAGAAAAACATCTGCCTCAAATGAATCCACTCGCAGTGAGATACTCATTGAAAATGTCAAATGGGGCACGTCAATATACAACGATGAGTTTATGAGACGCCTTGCTAAAAGTTCCTTCGGTAGGTTAAGAATATTTTAAACCTAATTTTGAATAGAGGTGTTTTCAGCACTTCAAAAATGTTCAGAGCAGAACTCGTAAGTTTGGTTGTTAAAATATCCCCCTTCAGATTTATCACCCACAGCATTCAATACAGAGCTGCCTTAGCCGTGTGTTCGAATGAAATTTTCACATTTCTAAGTAATTTAGCATATCTTATTTCTTTCAGAACTTACAGCAGGTTCGGATGAGGCAAGGGCAGCTCATCTAACTGCCCAAGGTAATCTGATTCAGACATTAGAGCTCTTGTGGCATCTTGCGGAACTGGTTTTTATCCAAGTATGTTCACTTTATGTAAAAAAAGGTATTCTATTAATTGCCTTCATTTACTGTTAGATTCATCTAGCTTATTTATTATTACTCTTTTGTGGCCTTCAGAGTAATTCTACACCACTTCGCTTGGGTCAGACTGCTGGTTAATAAATTTGCGGATTAGTTTCATATTATCATCTGATCCCCGATAATTTTTATACATTTAATCACATATCAACACTTCTTAGCTGCACAAAAGTTCATCAACCAAACCGCAACCGTGTCTATAGTTTAAAATAGAAGTGAATCTCAGGTGTTTCCTGAAATAATAATCTTCTATTTACCTTAACTAATAATTCAACCTCATTTAGGGTGATGCTTTCTCCCTCTGAATGCGAAATATTGCTTTACGACTGACCCGAACAATCGCATAGATTGATCATAGGGAATGAAGTCTGAGTGTGTCGACCACTGCACTTATCTTGTGAGCCTCATTAATGCTAACTGGTTGGTTCCTGACGGAATCTCAGCCAGGATGTAGAGAGCTCTCTTGGTTTTTGTCAGTTCACATCACATGTGATACAAGCGAGATGTTAGTCAACCAAAGAAAAGGTGAGTAGATCGATTTGCAACATGTACTCTGAAAGTATGAGATACGTGTAGGGTGCGGGCGCTTTGTCATGGATACATTGTGAGAGAACTGGTTGAGGGATAGTGTGGTTAAGCATGGGTTACTAGACAAAGGTAGAAAATCGATTGATGAGATTGTGAATGTCGGTTAATTGAGTTGGTTGGATTATACATTACATGTTTCTAAGCAATATCTATCTCAATGGGGAATTTTAGATTGCGTAAGAGTAGTTTGGAAGAACTGATGATTGACCAAACCTAAACGCAACACCAGTTCATGAAATTTTTAACTTCTTAATTGATCTATATTAATTAGTAGATGTCGTTTATCGTCTACGACTTGCGGATGATCTAATATCTTTCACCTACTGATATCCATTCCTTTTTATTTTTCGGTTTTCCATGACTATAAATATCATTTTATGTTTCCAATGCGTACCTCTCGTTTACTAGAATAGTGGAAACTTTGAACTACATTTTCGGGTCCTAGATCAAAGTGTTCGCATTTTTTTTATCAAACACGAAATGTATCAAGTTCACTCCTGATTACAGGGCGACAATTCACTAGATCGGTAATCAGAAGCGTATAGAGTCGTGTAGCTCGGTAATTATTACTACCTCTTACTCACCCGTTTTACACTGTATGAGTATTTTTACTAGACAAATGGCTGAAGTGTTATCTATACTACATTTTATATATATAAGCATGTTATTTTATTACACAAGCTCTAGCATATCATCTATTTAACTGTATTTTTGTTTTTAAAATCACCTATATCAGCGTGACATTAGCATCTTATTCAGAATGTAGCCTTCACTCACTGAATTACCAATAGATACGCACTTCACCTATTGACCTTCGGGAATATCGTTAGTATCATCATCTCATGCAATAACTATTGTTTACTTCATAGTATACGAGCACTTAGATAGTTTTCAGTAACTTTATACTGCTTCATCTGGTATTAGTGAAAATATGTATACATTTATTTGCATATTCGCCGGGACCCCACTGATCCCCATTTTTTAATTTTTAATCAGTATTTGGATCTGTCTTTTGTAATTTCTTGTGGCAGCACCCCTAAGAAGAGATTCCATCGTGACATATCATAATTCTAATAAAAGTTGTAGCAATTTCTTTGTTATTACACATCCATGCAATCGATCCTAGCTTCTGGAGAGACTTAGGCGACTCAGGTAGCAGTGACTATTCAATCATTCTTATCTTCCTAATGATTTCATTCTTCTCATAGGAAGTTGTGACCTCTAGCATATGTACCTCTTACATTCATGTCCTTGTATTTTACGTTTAGACGCCTCATGTATGCTTGTATGTGTCTGTACCCCTATTAGTATACTCAATGCTTGTATTTGAGATAAACGTGGCATTAGTCCTTGAATTCACTAACTTCTGATCTGGGCCATGTTGGTATATGCAGACTACTTGGTTGGGGTCCACGTGATTACCATATCCAATGGCTGGAGACTGTGGGTGACATGGCTCAGAATCGATCACAATAGGTGTTTTCCCTTTAAACTTAGGGATTAAAATTGGTTTATCCCTTTATTTCTATGAACTAATTATTTCTTCCTGTATCATATCCTTATACACAATCTTTCTTTTATTTATTACTACGATTGAAGTAACTACTTCTATGAATTTGGTGTTCATCGTGTTGTGCTAATCAGGTATGGCAACTTGAACCGACTTACACATGTGCCTGGTCCCACGTTGGGACTGATTAATTTAAGTTAAATTGACACTTAATATGTAATATTTTTAATAGATACACCTGTCTCCTTATAGTTTCGTCTGTCCTCCCTAAAGGAATGTTTGAAAAATATACATCCAAAACACTCGCGTCGGATGTTTTATATCCGCGTCGTTATGGGATGTATCGATTGAGCATATACATTGTAATAAGAATCTACTTCGTCTACATCACTAGTGATTCAATCATACAAGAGTCAGACCGCGGGTGCTAAAACCCACTCAAATATGGGGTTGTATACGAACTTATATCGAACAATACACGTGGTTTTGTCCTATCTTATCACAAATGAGCATCAAGAGATAATACTTTGTCTTTAATGGATTTACCAACCACCTAACCCGGTGTTCAGAATGGAACTAAGCCCCTCACGGCCATGTATACAAAATTCAGTTCTCTTAATACGAAGCATACATGTAGATTTTTTGGGTGAATTTTTAATTTAAATGTGAAATATTTCCAAATCAACACGAGTGCATAATGTTCTTATGACTTTAACTTAAACCATTTATGAAATAGACAAATCGGTTCCCGACCGTTGTTGCTACCTTGACGTGGTGGTCGGGCTTGCCTATCGTGATGAAGCAACCGAGCTATACTGGCTGGAACAACCGTTCCTCAAGGTCCTACCATGTCAGACAGGTCGGTTGAAGAGCGGTAAGACTAAAAGCAACAAACCCAAGGTCCGAAGGCGAAGTCGTACTGCTGACTGTACAGAGGTGTGACAGCAGTAAGGTGTTTCCTTCAGACAACCAGCATGACAGCGATGCTGCCTTCCCACAAGGAGGGGTGGGGTTAGAAAAGGTCGACCCTAAAAATGCACACCTCGCCTTATCCCACGGATATCCGTCTCCGGCGGTAAGGTCTCAATAAGTACGGAGCTAACACAAAAATTACCCATAACAAGGTCGTGTGTGACCGACCTCAAGCAGTTGTCCCTTGGGCACTGCGGTCACGCTCTCAGGTCACTAAGACCACTTCTAATCCAATTTCCTTTTCAGGTACCTCCAGAACAACCCTTCCACGGTGTGGGCAACCGGGAAGTGATAACCGCCCTCATACTTCTAACAGCACTCAAGACCACTGTATTCATAATCAACCTCCTCTTCAATTCCTATTATTCCTCCTACATCGACTTTCAACTCTATATTTCCTCTCTCGGCTTCCACCTCAAGTGTCACCATAGCCAACGATTCTAGTGCGCAAAACACTGTCCCAGGTCTACTGAAACCTCGCTCCAAACTACACATTGGAGCCTTCAACGTACGCACCCTATGTCAAATCGGTCAGCAGGCTTCCTTGGCTAAAACCCTAGAGTCTCTTTCCATTGATGTATGCTGTGTCTCCGAAACACGCATACAGGATTCCAGTGTGGTCATTCACTTGACCTCACCTCGGCAAGACGGAGAGCCAACGAGATACACCCTTCGTGTGTCTGGTGACCCGATGGCAAGTTCTCGTGGACTGGCAGGTGTAGGCATAGCACTAAGCATGAGGGCCGAACAAGCACTGCTAGAGTGGATCCCCGTCAACAGTCGTCTATGTGCTGTTCGGCTGAACGGCTACGTAAGAACTCGGAAGGATAGGGACACACGTCGTTGCCTTTTTGTCGTTTCTGCCTACGCTCCCACTGACTGCAGCTCAGATGAAGTGAAAGATGAATTTTACAGAAAGCTGTCCGAACTTCTTCAGAAAGCTAAACGCTCAGACATAGTACTCGTAGCAGGTGATTTTAATGCTCAGATAGGCAGTTTAAACCAAACAGAAAGGCATTTAGGTGGATATTTTAGTATTCCGACACAGCGAACAGATAATGGTGATCGTCTGCTGCAGCTATGCTCAGACAATCGTTTATTTTTAGCAAACACAAATTTTAAGCATAAGGAGAGACATCGTCTAACATGGCGACCCCCTACACCAAACCAACGATGGACTCAAATAGACCATATTGCCATCAGTCATCGTTGGAGAGGGTCGGTAGAAGATTGTCGCTCATTCTGGAGTACCTGCTTGGACTCCGACCATGCCCTAATACGGGCACGCATCTGCTTGCGCCTCACTGGACGCAAAAAAGCCACATTAAAAAGACCCGTTAGAACTGAGTTGAGTAACGAGAAAACCAAAAGTAGGTTCCAGGAACAACTGAGGTCACACTTAGGTAGTTGTGAAGACGAGGCTGACCCAGATGTTGCTTGGAAGGGCATACAATCAGCTGTGGAAACAGCAGTGACATCTATTAGTGACTTAAACCACAGAGTTACAAGGAACCAGTGGATTTCTTCAAGGTCTGTCACACTGATGGATTCTCGCAAACTCGTCCCATCAGGTTCTGAACATGATGAAGAGCGTAAACAAATCAGATCTAGGTTAAGAAAAAGTCTAAGGAACGACCGTGAGCAGTGGTGGGTAACGAAAGCAAAAGAGATGGAAAAGGCGGCGACTATAGGGAACACAAGACAGCTTTACAGACTAATAAAAGAAACTGGAATTAATAAGTCAAGTGTAAGTGAGATTATTTCGGAAAAAGATGATACTCTCATCTGCTCCCAGTCCAGACGTTTAGAACGATGGGCGGAACATTTTAGAGAACAGTTCAGCTGGCCTTCAGCTACTCTACAACTACCCTCCATTCCCAGACAAAGTGAATGGAACATTGAAGTAGGTCCCCCAACTCTTGCTGAAGTTGAGAAGGCTATAGTTAATCTGAAACGAGGAAGGGCAGCTGGTCCAGATGGATTGGCTCCAGAGGTCTTTAAGGATGGTGGTCCAATTTTAGCGATTAGGTTGACTAATATTTTAGCTAAGATCTGGGAATTAGACGTTATCCCATCTGACTGGTCGCAATCACTTATCGTCCCAATATATAAGAAAGGGTCAAAATCATCCTGTGACAACCACAGAGGGATTAGTTTAACAAACATAGTATCTAAAATACTGGCCTCGATAATTATCAAACGCCTAACTAAGACTCGTGAACTACAAACACGAGAGAACCAAGCTGGCTTTAGACCTGGTCGTGGCTGCATCGACCACATATTCACCATTCGTCAGGTTCTAGAACACAGGCATACCTATCGGCGTCCGACGATGGTGGTCTTTCTTGACTTAAAAGCAGCATTTGACTCTGTAGACCGCGAGACTCTGTGGCAGTGTCTGTCATTGAAAGGCGTACCTCAGAAGTACATAAACCTTGTGAAGGCTCTTTACTCGAACACTACTAGTCGAGTCAGGGCTTATGGCGAACTGTCATCTACTTTTGCAACCTCAAGTGGTGTCCGTCAAGGCTGCCCACTTTCTCCATTTTTGTTTAACTTCATCATAGACCTATTGATGGAAATAACACTCTCGTCGACTGAATTCTCGGGTATTGATCTCCTTCCAGGAGGTCCACTTATCGACTTAGAATACGCAGATGACATAGTCCTGTTTGGTGAAGACGCTGACAAAATGCAGAGTCTTCTGGTAGCACTAAGCAACAATGCCAGAATGTTTGGGATGCGCTTCTCTCCCTCTAAATGCAAGTTGTTGCTTCAGGACTGGTCTGCGTCAACACCTGAACTAAGGATAGGGAGTGAAGTAGTCGAACGAGTTGACAACTTCACTTATCTTGGAAGTCTGATCAGCCCTAATGGGTTGGTGTCTGACGAAATCTCAGCACGGATTCGTAAAGCTCGTTTGGCTTTTGCCAACTTACGTCACCTTTGGCGGAGGCGAGATATCCGTCTATCAATAAAAGGACGAGTATACTGCGCGGCTGTCCGTTCTGTTTTAATTTACGGCAGCGAAACATGGCCCTTAAGAGTAGAAGACACCCGTAAGCTACTAGTATTTGACCACAGATGCCTTAGAAATATTGCTGGCATCTGCTGGGATCACCGGGTAAGTAATAGTGAGGTTAGACGCAGGGTATTAGGGAATGATGGTAAATCAGTTGATGAGGTTATGAATCTTCATCGACTGAGATGGTTGGGCCACGTATTACGTATGCCTGAACACCGATTACCGCGACGTGCAATGCTAACCGGTGTAGGGGATGGTTGGAAGAAAGTTAGGGGCGGCCAAACCAAAACGTGGCATCAGTGCCTGAAGTCACTAACTTCTAGTCTGAGCCATGTTGGTAGATGCAGACTACTTGGTTGGGGTCCGCGTGACTTTCGTAACCAATGGTTGGAGACCCTTGGTGACATGGCTCAGAATCGATCACAATGGCGTCGGTGTATACACTCTCTGTCTTCTCTTAAACTAAGAGATTAAGATCACTTCACATCTTTCTTTCTACGAACTAATTCTTTCTTCCTATACTATATCCTTATTGCAATCTTTCTCCTATATATTACCACCTTTGACCTAACCACTCCTATGAATCCGGTGTTCATCTTGCTGTGCTAATGAGGTATGGCAACCTGGGCCGATGCATACATGTGCCTGGTCCTACGTTGTAGCTGACTGACAAATCGGTTGACCGAATTCATCCTTCATCAATTTGTACGCTGCTATGTGGTTGTTTTTACATTGTTATTTTTATATTTTGTCTGACGCATTTTAACTTTGGTACCTAGTATTAGATGTCAAACATTAATCCTAAATATTTGCAAGTAAGCTATTACTGTTTTATTACAGACTCAAAATTGACTGTTATTCAGTAAACGTATTTATTGAAAATTTAGTGTTTCCTCTCTTTTCAGTTTTTAATGTTTATGTTGTTATGAACGGGGAATTAAGAAGCCCAGACAATTACGAAAGCTATTTTCTTGGGACGTTATTGTATTTCATTCAAGCCCTGTAAAACACTTATATTTATTTTTGTCCCTATCTTATTCTACATAACACGAGCTTTCGTTCTATGTATCGTTCACTAGCATACCCTTTTTTGTTCCAAAAATATTGTAATTTAAACACTATATTTTGCACTATATTTTCTACCCTAATTCCCTGTTTCGGGCATAACTGTATTTTTCCAAATTATCCTACGTCGTGGTCAAGATATGCACTTATTTATTCATGTACATTTTTGTAGTAATCCGAATTCAGAGAATCCAGAGTTTAGTGTTCCAACTGTCTTGTCTTCTTTCACGTGTGTGCTTGCCAACCAATCAGGATTTAGAATAGTTCTCTCTACCCCATCTCGAACTCACGCATATTAGACTCAAGGTTAAGCCACTCAGCCTAACGCGTCAAGGTCATAATTTAGACTACACCGACCAAGGTCAAGTCATAACAAGTATCACGGGGTAAAAGCGATTCAAGGTCATAACAATGTATTTACTTACTGATTTCTTTGCCCGTATTATTTTTAATCAGAAAGATTCACTTTTATGGCAGATTTTGTACAATTTCAGCCAAGCTATTAATTAAAAATGTTACACCAGTAGGTCTTCCGGTGGGATTTGTCAGTAATCGTGCATGTGCCTAGTCCAGTTTCCTGATATGAAAAATCCCAGTATTAAGTCCCCAGCCTAGATATTCATATCTCTCATACCTAGATGTATCTCTCTGCAGCTTCTGTATATTGGTAAGAATAAATCATAAGCGACTTAAAAAGCCAGTCATACCATGAGAAATTTCGTATGATATATCGTAGTACCTGTTGTTGGTACTACAGTTATGCAAATCAATTCTTTGGAAGATAAAAACTTTACTTTTATTCCCATTATTTTAGGTATCCCCACCTGGATATTTAGCATTCAATCTCTGTGGTTGGTTTTACGTGCAGTCCCAGGAAGCCGCTAATCGCGCTCGAGAGATTTTGGACAGTGCAAACAAAGAACAATCCGGTCATATTTTATTGCATGATAAACTGAATAATCTTAAATCATGGGAAACCAACAAGGACTTTTGGCCAACAGTTTTAAACTTGGTTTTACAAGCTAGGTGTCAAGAAGCAGCAAGTTTGCTTGTCCTGCATTCTAATTCTAATGGTCGTGGTCTCCGAAGTCTACGTCAACTTCTAGCTTCTATGCCAGTTGCTTCTCATGCTGAAAAAGAGGGCAAGTGATTTTGCCTAAGACATTTTTTGTAACGTGTGCATTTTTGAGACACTCAGTAGTTAGTCTCACTACCTAAAGTAGATCTCACTCAAATATTTGTTCTCTATCTCTTTATAATCGTTCGTATTATCGTAGTAGATACTCGATATTTCCTGCTGAAATTCGCTGTCTCAATAATTGTTACAAACTGTCCATCCTGCATACAATTACATCACACCTGTTTCTTTAGAAACTAGAGGTTAATTTAACATAAAACTTGGTGGTCATAGATCTTATATTGGCTTCCTGAACTATTTGTCAGAAAAGCCCAAATGACGACCAAGCATGTACAAGAGAAAGATTCCATCAAGTGTCACCGTTCGCAAAATATGTTTTTTGCCTTTAAAGTATCCAACTGTTTTATTGGAGCTTTATTTGGACAGTAATAGCATCGTTATTCTAGAGAATTAGGTGTAATAAAAGTCTAGGGAAGCAGTATATGGAGATAATTTCTCATTATTATGCAAGCTGCCTTAAAAAAATTTCAGTAGTTTCTTCATAGCCGCCAACATTCTCTATAAGCGATCGATCACACATTCACCATTCGTCAGGTTTTACAACACAGGTATACTTATCGGCGTCCGACAATGATGGTTTTTCTTGACTTGAAATTAGTATTTGACTCTGTAAACTGAGAGGTTCTGTGGCAGTGTCTGTCATTGGAAGGCGTACCTCAGAAGTACATAAACCTCGTGAAGGCTCTTTACTCGAACACTACTAGTCGAGTGAGAGCTTATGGCGAACTGTCATCTACTTTTGCAACCTCAAGTGGTGTCCGTCAAGTCTGTTCACTTTCTCCATTTTTGTTTAACTTCATCATAGACCTATTGATGGAAATAACGTTCTCGTTGATTGAATTCTCGGGCATTGACCCCCCTCCAGGGGGTTCATTTATCAACTTTGAATACGCAGATGACATAGTCCTGTTTGGTGAAGACTCTGACAAAATGCAGTCTTTTGGTAGCACTGATCAATAATGTCAGGCTGTTTGGAGTGCGCTTCTCCCTCTCTAAATGCAAATTGTTGCTCCAGGACTGGTCTGCGTCAACACCTGAACTAAGGATAGGGAGTGAAGTAGTCGAATGAGTTGACAACTTCACTTATCTTAGAAGTCTGATTAGCCCTAATGGGTTGGTGTCTGACGAAATCTCAGCACGGATTCGTAAAGCTCGTTTGGCTTTTGCTAACTTACGTCACCTTTGGCGGAGGCGAGATGTCCGTCTATCAATAAAAGGACGAGTATACTGCACGGCAGTTCGCTTTGTTCTACTTTACGGCTGCGAAACGTGTCGATTAAGAGTAGAATACACCCGTAAGCTACTAGTATTTGACCACAGATGCCTTAGAAATATTGCTGGGGTCTGCTGGGATCACCGGATAAGTAATAGTGAGGTTAGACGCAGGTTATTAGAGAATGATGGTAAATCAGTTGATGAGGTTATGAATCTTCATCGACTGAAATGGTTGGGCCACGTGTTGGAGGTGGTTGGAAGAAAGTTAGGGGTGGCCAAACCAAAACGTGGCATCAGTGTTCGAAGTCACTAACTTCTGGTCTGAGCCATGTTGGTAGATGCAGACTACTTGGTTGGGGTCCGCGTGACTATTGTAGCCAGTGGTTAGAGACTGTGGGTGACATGGCTCGGAATCGATTACAATGGTGTAGGTTTATACACTCTTTGTCTTCCCTTAAATTTTGGGTTTAAAATTACACTTACCTTTCTTTCTACTTATTTCTTCCTGTACTATGTCCTTATACACAATCTTTCGTCTATTTATTACTACCATTGAAGTAACTACTTCTATGAATTTGGTGTTCATCGTGTTGTGCTAATCAGGTATGGCAACTTGGACCGATGTATATATATGCGTAGTCTTACGTTGCAGCTGACGGAATGAAATTGGTTTATTTCTTAAAATTTCTCCTAATGTGCCAAAAATGAATACTATACATCTCTTTTTCCAAGTTTGTGGCAAATACGGAAATTGAAGTTCTATTACACAAAATTTATTTCCTCAGTGGGGCTGATCAACATGACCACATCAGATATCTTTATAAATACCCGTGTAATTTCCACTTGAATCATTATGGATATCATAGGTTAAATAAACTTGTTCCGAATTCGTTTCTCGTTTTTAACTTCACAATTATTGGTGATTAATACATAAAGTTGATCTAGATCTGTCGCTCCTCAGTAGTAAGTTACTTTGTTTAGTGAGTAGTTCAGGAGCATTGTTACAATTGCACGATTACTGGAAGTAAAATTAGTGCTTCTCGGCGTAACTTGTTAATAAAGTAAATAAATTAAGCATTTTCTACACATAAACGTTCTTCGTAATCCATTTTTTTTACATTACAAAGATATTAGTTACAGTTTAATGGCTATCATTTAGCAAATGTTTAGGAAAATTTATTTATTGACTAGTTATAAATCAGCATCTATTTAACTGAAGATGTTTTATTGGTTGACAGTGTTTTCGGTGTTTCTAACAGCATACTTTAAAAGGTGGTTCGAGAAAATTTTGATAATCTTTCATATATGATCAGTTTGGGAAGTCTCTGTTCTCTATGTAAATATTTATTCTTAATTCCACCTTTTATAGACATAGACCCACTAAACGTCTCTGCACTTTCAACCATTTTTAGAATTATTTCTTCGTATATTTGGCGTGGGGACTGTTTGTCATGTCTTTTTTAGCGTAATACCTACTCACTGTTGATAACACGCATATGTAACACTAGTTGTTTAGGTGAACTTTCACTGGTTGTTAATTCTTGCTTGTATCATCCATCAACGTGTTTATCTACTTGATAAACTTAACTCAATGCTTGAAATCTTTCTTTTTATTGTGAACATGGATGTGAGAAACTTATGTTTTGTCTCTTTCACTTTCTGTTTTCATTAGTTACTTGTAATCCATTATCTTTAGTTTATGATGTAAAGTTTTCAGAATGTGTTTTCTAAAAATCCTTATCTTTTTTATTGGTGTTAGGTATGTGGACTGAGTATGGTGCTCAGTTTTCGCAGGCGTGGAATTATTGGCAGTCAGAGTGTGAACATCGACTGTCTTCGGGAGAATTCGATCATGTTGGTGGTGATCCAGCATCAGTTGACTACATAAAATTAATTGTAAATATCTTATCGGGGCGTACGTCTATTTGGGATGACCCGCGAATTCTGGACGTAACTAGAGGTTCACGTGGATGGTTTTTTCGTTTTGTATCATTTGTTTTCTACACTGACCAGTTGGTAAATATTGATGGTTTAAGCAGTGATCTTGATCGATGGCTTGCTTTAACCAAGAAAGGTAATATGGAACCGGGCTCCAACTTTGATCAGGTAAATAACATTTAAGATTTTTCGCACGAATATAAACGTTTTTTATTGGTTGCTTCAATATCTTTCCTTACTTATAAATTAAACGCTCTGCTGTTTTGTTAAGCTATATTTTCAGTTAGTTTAATACTATGTTTGTTTATACTGTGTTTTTCTTGCGCGAAATACAACGATAACACTTTGGTCGCGCACGTTAGAATGGAATGTAAATAGATGTGAAATAGTTTTGTACAAAGTAATTTGAGATCTTCAACAGCCCACTTTTACTTTCCAACGAATATTGGTTGAAAATCTACATTTTTTTAATGACTATTATATATTATAGAATACTGTTGCTTAATCACCTCCGTTAACCAATAATTTACTCTTCTCAGTTTTAGTACACCTTTGTTCTATTAATGATATTGTTTTTGTTTCCGTATTGTATGACATCTCTTAACCACATACGATTGAGTCAAAATACATACTGTGTATCATATTGTGGATAGACATTAGGTTACAGTGAAATTCAACACGCGCGTTTCATCTTATTCAGAACTTGCTAGCTGAATATCCCTCCATTTCGATCTTTAGTCCTCATTGAGATCAACACTGAAACACAAGTATATGCAACTAACAAGATTTAAATTAAGACAAAAAATGCTCGTTTTATTTCATTATTACACATTTCCTAAAATATGATCAACTTATAGTTACAGGCTAAGTAAAAAAGCATTTGGGAGGCATTATTTCTTAGTAGGAAGACTAGAAAACCCTCTTAACTTATGAATATTGTATAAAGGCGCGATCTCAGTACCGTTACAGGTTAATTATCCAGTTACAAACATTCTGCTTTTCCAAATCAGCAAAAATTAGAACTAGCAAAAAACAATTGGAATCCGTTTGGTTTCATTAGGTTCTATTTACAACCCAATTAACAGAATATGACAAAGTTTGATGTTTTTTTAAAAATTCTCAGAAAATTAGTTAGGGGCAAATTGAGCGAGTATCAGGGCAGTTATGTATTCACAAAAGCCTTATTTTTGTCTTAGATACTTTTTTACAGTTTTATAAAGTATATTACATCCCCTATCCAATTTCTTATTCAAGTACTACATAATGTAAACAGATAACGAAGATGGGTTGTATTAAAAGCGTTTATCAGCTTTGTTGTAGGTGTGAACTGCTTGCCATTCAGTTATGTTTTTTCAGCTACCCCTTACATAGTGTTATATCTCAAAGCCGTTAACACAAACCTAAACTTGATTACTGAGCTGTAATAACTTTAATCTACTTACATAAAACAAAAATGATTGCTGTTTCACATTTAACACTGGTAACAATTCATACTTGTTACCAACCATAAAACAATTCATTGCAAATATAACTATTTCAAAATTGTACTTTTTAGCTGTTAATGGTTTTACGTCCTTTAAAATGGACTATTTAAGTGCTAACATCTCATAATCATTATCATTAATGTTAACTCGAAGTATTCACGGGTGTTTAATGTCACTGAACGTTTCAGAAACAAACCAGCTAGCTCGAAAAATTTAACCTTATAAAAATTTACTCATGAAAAAAACATTTTCTGTCACTTGGATTTTTTCAGAAGCTTTTAATTGTGTTCCTGTTATTAATATTTTTATTGTTTACTTTTTACCTCAGTCCGTCGATGCTTTAATCACAAGCATTTTTCACGTGGATCTATTTTCATTTGTTCGTATAGCAAGTGAAAAATTAAGTAATTGGTGGTTTATTGCACACTTTACGAATCTTTTAAACCACATATATCCTGGTGTACTTAATGATCTTCAGCTTACACATAAACAAGACGAGTTATCTTTAGAATCTTGTCCAAAAACAGTAAATTGTAAGTAACATTTTCTTAATTAATTAGTTAGTTTTGTTTCATAAGTTATTGGTTTAAACATTATCTTCATAAGACCACTACTAAATAAAACAAATGTTTAAATGTTGTTTTTTTATCAGTTATTCTGGTAATAGCTTGCTATGAAGTATTATTAGCCAGGAACTATCATCTGAGGTTCCAGTTTTCTCAACAATTTTATCGTGTTTATAGGTAATGACATGTAAATGCTAAATGGTGCTACATATTCAGCTCAACAACTAAGAGTCTGTGTGAAATTATGTGACAGATAATATAATTCATGTGCACATAAATCCATTCTCTCTTATTTCTTGAATGGAAACTAATAGTGCACACGTTTAGTAGAATCAAATTTTTAAAATCGCGATGGCATTTTAAGATTAAAAAAAGTTTATTATGAAAATACTGCATTTGGAAACATCCTCAAATGTGGTTAAACTAAAGTACTATATGGACCAGTTACCTCCTCTAATCTGGAATATATAATATACTTGAGACATTTAGGCTCAGACTATTCCCTTGATTTCCTATCCAATATCTAATCAAGCATTCATAGAAGTTTATGCACAAACCTACCTATTATTGCAGAAACTATAAACATCCATATCACCGTTTACATTATGGTATAAACACTTTCGTTCTTTTTATTTACTATATGTGCAGATAAATCTAATGCTAAGTTTAATGAATCATTGTATCAACCTGTAGACAGCTCTTCATTGGTTGAATTTTTTCTTCTTGGTTATGTCGAATCATTGGCTTCTGAAACTAGTCTTTTATCTATTGCACTTGGATATTTGGATCACTGTAAATCTGGCGTACTCGTCAATCTACCTTATTACTGAGACATGCTGTGCCAGTTTCAACTAGAGCTACAAACTGGGTAAGTTGATTAGACATCTTTGATTTGATGACTATGTTAATGAATTTCCTTAGCTTATTGTCCTTTTTATGAGAATTAGTTACTGTGTAATATACTAAGTCATATAATTTATATTTATAATCCTTACCTATGAATCCTCACTACCATTATTTATTAGTAGCCACGAAGTCATGTTGTTTAATAGATGAATCGCACAGTCCCTTTGATTTTCCCGTCTAAAATAAGCGATCGTAACAGTTGTCTCAAAGCAGGAGGAATGATAGCCCGATGTGTAAACAATACACAAGACTAAAATGTCGAAATCAAATGAAATTAAAAGCTGAGCAAATAACTCACCTTATACGTTTATCTGCTATCCTAATATGTGCAATATATTTTATGAGATTTTTGTATAATAATATATATTTGAGTCTGGTTTTATGGCTTAGTAGTGAAAACACTGAATTTTAATTTGTATATTCAAATTCCGATCCACCATAGTCCCATTTACTTTATTACCTATAATCAGGCATGAATAATTTATTACGTTAGTGACATTTCTTACACGTCCAATACAATTATATTATATGATTTGTGTTAATTGGTCGTAAAAATTATGTGATATACGAGTCCCTGTGTGCCCACGAATGTAGAACATGTATCTCATGTAGTTTAATTTCTATTCAGAAAACCAATGATTTACTCATTAAATAGGCGTATAATCCTCTCTTTAAAAGGCAAAACTAATTAAGCTAAGAAAAAAAAACTAATTAACATTTCAGAAAATGTTGAAAATCATTTACTGAAACTCAGTTGCAATCTGAATTTTTCGGAAGTAATATCAACCATGTAGTTGACCAATATATTTTTGGTTTTTTTTTATTTGACATGTCATCTAAATCGAAATACAATCTATTGTAATGTTATATTATTTATCCTAAGTGTTATATTCTATTCAGTAATTGAATACCAACTGGATTACTGAATAATAAGTAATATATACTTCAGATCAGTAATCTCAATAATTAGTTTTCCATAAGAATACAGTTTTAAATAGTTTCACCTATTTTCACTTATTTAAAATGAATTAGCTAATTAATTAATTATTTGTAACGATTTATAATTTTTATTTACTTCATTTTACTAGTTTATTAGTCAAGCCAAAGTTAGAGGATTATATTCAACTGCTGAAGAATTAGCCAAATTAAATTGTCGTAGATTTACATGTTTATCATTGCAATCTCAAGAAGGTTCTATAATTAATTCATCAAATTATTCTCCAATATGTATCTCTATAGGTTGGGCTTTAATGGCACGTGATTATTCTATGATTAATCGATTAGCTGAACTCTCTCTTGCTAGAGATAATGGATTTATGCATAAGGACACTTTAAATGAAACAATAATCTCGCATGCTTCTACAGAAGTTGCAGAATTGGCTGCTATAATATTAGGTTTTTGTCGAGGATCATCATTTGACGAACCGTCTAATAATAATAAAGTTAATGAAGTGAATCATCTTCAATTATCACCTGAATTAGCTTTTTTAATTCGTTATGCTGAACTTCAACAAAGTTTTAATGATGGTGATTGTGAAGGCGCAGTTGATCGAATTATTGATTTACTGGTTACTAGTCCTGGGAACTCACTTATTACCACCAATTCAACTGGACACGATTGTACAAATTCTTCGACTACAGGTTTTGGTTTACGTATACCAACTCGTCTTAAAATAAGACTTCTTGCTGAAGTAAGACACTTATTGGGTCGAAATTGTCTACGTCGAGATCAAGTTGAAGTGCTTATTACTGCTTTGATTGAATTAAGAGCAGATTTGGATTTAAATCCTAATAACATGTCCACAAATAATGATATACATTCATTGCTAACAAAAATTCATATGTCTCTTGCTAAAGAACTAGCATCGACATTCTTTGCTACCTCTAATACCATCCCTATATCTCTGTCTTTATCACCCAATAGTATGGTTGATACAAATTGGCATTAAACCTGTTTCCTTATTTACCATGCTGTGTAAACTTTTTAAACAGTAAATTTTGTTGAAATATGGTGCATTTATGATCCCATGTTTTGTGTATATGTTTTTGTTGCTATTTTGTATGGAAGGTTTTGAATTTTCTATTTTCTGTCCTATCTACACTTTAATAACAAACATTTGATTTTTTCCGTTTTATTAGTTCATCATGATTATTTGTCTGGTGTTGCTGTATAAGGTGATTGAGTTCGTATACTCACCTTCATGATCTCTTTGCAATTCATAGGGATCGAATCCATTTAAGCTTGAATAAGTAATTTTTGATAACTCTCACGGAATAAAGAGTATTGTCTACAGCCTCGTACATTGACAGATACATGAAGTTTGTTCATTTTTATCCTATATTTATGTATATATTAAAAAGAACAAACAAAATTGTGCTATTCCATTTCAATTGTTCCTGAGTTAATAGTAAATATGGATGGGTCGTATCGCTCTTTATTCATTTTCATCTAATTTCCACTAACCATTTCCTTTTGTTCCAGAGGATCTGAGGTTATAGCAACCATACTATGAAGCGAAAGACACTAAGTTTGAATCTCCGTGTGAATATCAACACGGATACAGGTTCATTCATCTGGCAAGTCCCAAATAGGACAAAACACGGGTCCCGGACCCCATTGTTAGTCACCATCTAACTCCTTATGACTTAGTGGCGATATCTAAGCAATCCTTACAGAATTGAAATATTCTAAAAGTGACTGATCAGTTGCAGTCTATAACATCAACAGGAAGATCAAAGCAACCAATACAAATCAATTAAGATAATAGTCTGTTAAAAAGGTTTCAGGTGAATGGTAACTTATTCTTGAAATTGAACAAAGCCAAATGATTTGCGCTGCACATTAAAACAAGTTTATTGAGTATTTACAGTCGGTAGATGTCTATAAGAATGAGTAACCTGAAAAAATCTAATGAAACTGACCATAAGTCATGATTTGACTGTTCATTCTTAGTGTGCAATATTTTTCGACTTTAGCTGAATTGCTTACTTACTTTCAACAAGTCGATCGCAAGACAATCAGCTCCCACTTTGGGTGAAGTTCAGCAATCACCATTTCCCAATGACATGCTTTCGTTTGTCACAAAATAATTGTCGACAATCCTACTTAGTTTCGGCGATCTCAGAATTGGTTCAGAAAAATATGTTTTGTTCTCATTACTTCAATTTTCGATGCAAGTTGTGCTAGTGTGAATAGATGGCATCCTATTTTCTCCAATCCCTAAACTCCGTAGTACGGCCGAAGGTCGGAAGAGTTCGTTCTCCTTGAAATGCTTTATCCATGTGCATACAGCCACTGCCGGGGAGGTCCTACACACTACGTTCTCTCGGCATGGATGCATATTGAATTGAAAGGACGAAAAGCGGATGTCCAGTGCTTAAATTGGGTTGGTGGGTAAAGAGAATCCACCTAGAGTAAAAAAGGCGGGTTGGAAATCAATGGTGCACATGGCCTTCAGTATCCTGAGGTATCAAATAGGGTATGAACCTATTTTAGTTGTCGGGTACCATGTGGTCGCCTCTCCTAACATCGTTCCGCTCTCTTGTGGATTAGACGTCAAAGCTTGGTGAGTGGCCCTCTAAGGAAGCCACATGCTTTGATCTGGATATCTGGGCTGTATCCCAGCCCAAACAAACTGAGTGATGATTACGACTGGGGAAAACCGCTCTCTCCTCAATTCACGTTCTTACAAATTATATTCATAATTATTTGCTAACATTCATTTTTATTTTACACCATGCCACTTGTTTATTCCTTTTCTCATTGCATATATTGTATTTTCCACCTTATACAGAACCTCGCTTATAGTAGAAATTATGTCCTCTCTAAACGGTCTCAAGTCACTGATTAGTCGCAAGTTGAGTGCTACCACAGAATACGAATTCCGAATTAGTCTTAAACTATGTATGCTATTCAAATTGGTCTCCCTCAACGTTCGCACGCTAATTCTGGTCAGACAACAGATCGGGTTAACTGTCTTTAGAAAGTACTAGCACCAACATCTGTTGTTTATCTGAAACCCCCATTTAAGACTAGTGAAGTACTACAAATCGTTTCAGCATGTCACTTTGAAAAACTTGTTCATTCATCGTAACGACTAACCCTTAGTATCATTGCGTATCTAGGTTCATAAAACAGTTCAAAACTAATTTTAAAAAATAGTTCTCAAATACACTAGGGAGAAGCAAGTTTTAAGCGTAACGTCAATATCTGATTTCATACCCATTTTTACACTTCAAGTTAACTGGAGTTCTGGCGGTGTTTTAGTATTTAAATACACAGCGGTCCTTTGCTTATGTAAAGTCACCTGTGTTGTAGTATTTCTTTTAAACTAATCTCACCTCAAACTAACAACATTCAGTTGATTTTCCACAGTGAATATTACCTCTTTCAACGACTTTTCGACATCCTATACAAGAGTTGATAGTCTAACTTTTAGGTTAGCTTCTCGCCATATTTCACAACTTGAATTACGGAAGACAAATAACCTTTGCAGTCCACAGAAAACTTGATCTGTTAACATTGTCTGTTTTTGTTTAGACTAGTGAGTAAACAATATCCTGACCTAGCAAAAATAATTTTGGAAAAAGTAAAATGCTAGTTCATATACTTTCTAATACGCCAAACATGACACTCTAAGCGCACAGACGAAATGTCACTGTTTATCTAGAAAGCAGGTTAAGGATGATGAGCTGTAGATAAGGCAGATCAGGATATAGGTCCAGTTTGATATGACTGAGTAGATTTAACTGTATAATAGGAGTGTATTTTTAATGGTAATATATACAAAATTTCAGTGACTACTTGCAGAACATCATATCTCATTTAGGCGCAGAATTTATAACTTGGCTTGTGAATGCAAAAAATTGATATTAAGAAAGAATGTCACTGTACATAAATTTAAATTTGAAATCATCTTGAACAGGCGATTAAATGGTTTGTGCCGATTGATTTAACGACAGGATAGGTATTCCGATAAGGATCTTCCGTCCACGTAGCATCATGAGTAAAATCTGAATAAATTTTTCACCTCAATGGCCTAAATTGTTTTTGATTGAGATCATGAACCGATTGTTGTTAGACAACCATTGAAAACCTGAAAGCATTGGACGATCGTTTCGTCCTATCGTGCGACTACTCAGCATTCACGATCCCGCTTGTGGGATTTGAACACAGGGCCTTCAGTCTCGCTCAGGAACGCTTAACCTCTGGACCCACAATAGGACGGAACGACCGTCTAGTGCTTCCAGGTTTTCAATGGTAGTTCAACATTATTCGGTTCACGATCTCAATCAAAAGCTTAATAATCTCCACAACTCCATACTGATAATGATTTAAACTGTGAACGGCGGCCTGTTCGGATTGTGAAGATCTCTACATCGGAGGGGGAAGCACAAAATACAATGGACAGCTGACATACGACAAGAAGATTTGGACTTGGCAGATGACCTAGCTATTCTACCCCATACACACGAACAAATGCAGGTGAAAACAGTCAGTGTAGCAGCAGTAGACCTCAAAATACAAAAGGACGAAAGCAAGACCCTCAAATACAACATGGGGAACATAAATCCAGTCACTCTTGGCAAAGAAGATCTGGGAGAGGTCGAAACTCCCTCGCAACTAGACAGCATCATCGACGAGCAAGAAGGATCTGATACAGATGTGAAGTCAAGGAATGGCAAAGCGATGACAGCATTCCCACAATTAAGGAACATATGGGACTCAAAATAACTGTCAGCAAGCCAATATCAAAGTCGGATTCTTCAATACGAACGTCAAGACAATTCTACCTGTATAGAGCTGAGACTTGAAGAGTTACTACAAACATCATCAAAAGTGTATAAATATTCGTAAACAGTTCTCTACGCAAGATACTGAATGTCGGTTGATCGGATATCATCAGCAACAAACTACTGTGGGAGAGAATAAACTGGCTTCCAGCTGAAGAGGAAATTAGGAAAAGAGTGTGTGAGTGAATAGGACATACATTGTGGAAATCATCAAAATACATCATGAGGCAAGTGCTAGCTTGAAATCCTTAAGAGAAACGGAAAAGAGGAAGACTAAACAACACACTGTGTCGAGAATTAGAAGCAGATACGAAAAGGATTGCCCAGGACAGAGTTGGATGGGGAATACTTGTAGGAGGCTTATGCTCCTCCACGAGAGGTACCATGCGTAAGTAGTAATGTCTGTATGTACTGATGAACTATCACAGAAGTGTTACATTTGAGTTCCATGCTAAATTCTGGAGAACCCGAACAGTAAGAACATTTTCCGTTTTATCTATCCTCTTAAAAAACGAGATAAATATATTGTAATCCAAAAGTTCTCTGTATATACATATATATATAAATATGGGAAAATTATTGTAGCAACTTAGCTGATAGAAAACCCTAATTATTTAGTACTTGTGAAAGATAATGACTATTGAAACCATTTTAAAAATTATCTGTCGGTTGAACACGTAACATCATTAAACATGTAATCGTGCCGGTATTTTTTTCTCATATGAATCACATACTGGAAAAGTTAATTCAACTGAACTGGTGTAAAAGTATATAAAAATTTACCTTTGAAATAAGTTTTATTACGCTACTTGAAAGTAATTCAAATATATTTACGAAATTTAGAAATACAATTTCTCATTCGTTAACCAACGAATCTCAGGTACATCCATCTGACTAGTTCCAAATAGGACGAAACACGCGTCCTAGATTCCACTGCTAGCCACTATCCGTCTTTGCTTAAGAATCTCACTGTTGTTTGAAAATTATTAAATACTTTTTGGTTAGAAAGATCGAAAAATTCTAATAAGTTGACGTTTCTGCGTAAATTTTAAGTGAGTATGATTCATTCTGGCAAAAATACTTCCAAATAATTTCTTAGAAATCTATTTTCTTCATTTATATGAACTCGGGTCTAAATTCGAATGAATAGTTTCAC